TTATAAACAAATATCTTGAAAAAACAAACTGGGAATTAAAAGTAGAGTATGCTACCTTCAGTGATACCACACAGCAAGTATGGCTTAGAATTTTCTACTCTTGTTAATCTTCTTAACTAGGTGATATCCAACAAAGTTGTGAGATAAAAGCTTAGAAATCCAACCCGTATATGTCTGCAAACAGACAATACTAGAAAGAGAACTTTATAGCTCTAAAGCTGCTCTAACAGCTTCTACTACTACTGGAAGTGTTGACATTTCTTGTAATGATGCAATAAGAACATGTTTTCATTTCTTGGAGAATATTTAAGATCCTGGATAAATCTCAGCAAAGTTGACAGAGTGTCTCCTGATGTTCCTCTTAAGGAATTCATGTCCTCCTATCAGATTTTACCCTGAACTCTCACATAATTTTAATGTCAGTCCTAAAACAGGCCTAACAAAGGCCTTTCATTTATTACATGGTTAAAGCCAAAACGAAAAGTGTTTCAACATGCTGTTTCCTGCTATGTGATAACAATACTGTATTTCTGTAGTCATCCCGTTTGCTTCAATTTTTAGCATACAGATATTTACACAAAATTTTTAGTAAAGAACATATATGTATTTGATACAGTTTCTGTGCTTTTTATTGTATCAGTAGCGCCTTGGGACCACCCACAGCCTTTAGCCTCCTGTTAATCAGGCAACTAAGCAACTGTTGACTAAGCAACATCGTGCTTCAGCCACTTACATTTGGATTTTAAGTTTGTCAGCAAACACATGAATAAGCAGCCATCACAACAGTCAGGTCTCTCCTGCTCAGGGGGACGAGTCAGTGTGTGCCCAGACAGGATCAGCCCAGCTGAGCAAGAGCAAGGGAAGAGTCTGCAATATTGCTGCAGTAAAAACTGTTACCCTTGAAATACTCTCAGGCATTTCAAGAAGCATCAGAAACTCACAAACATATTCAGAGGTACCTCTGAAAATTACTAAGGTCAGGAGACTGGAAAATGGCAACACGCTGCCAAGTAAAAAAAGGAAAAGCCAGGAAATAACAGGCCAGTCTTCCTAGAAATATTCAAATAGACTTTTTTTTCAGCAGACCAAGGTGAGTAACAGTGTATTTGCTGAATGGAAACCACATCAAACAGATCTAACTGCTCATGGTACAGTCCGACAAATTCCCCTCCTTAAACTAGAGAAATACTCTCTACATAAAATTATAACCACAGACTCCTGTAAATTCCAATAATCATCACCACACACAAGAGTATTTATTAATTGCTCTGTGTTAATTTGAAAGGATGTGTCAAGTGGGATCACCTATGTCCTAATGAAAATACTGAGTGTTGCTGGATTTCAGAGCTTTGAGAGAAAATAGGCCTATTAAAATCAGCACATTACATTCGACTATGAGAGGCATGAGCCTGTAGGAGAGCAGGACCGGAATCTGAAGAGCCAGAGAAACAGCCTGGAAAGTACAAGATGCAATTCAGTGAATGCAAATACAATTCCTGCACATGAGAAACATAGGTGCAAATTCACAAACATGTGACTCATGGTGACCTGTTAGACTGCAGGAGAATGAGACTTAGACAAATATGGGCAAACTGTCAACCAATAATGTCATACTACTAGGGAAAAATGAAAAACTAACAACAGCCTAGGAATATAAGTAGTAGAGATTTCCACTCACCGCTTGCTCTGTTAGGAAACCAAGTCCAGTCTAAGGCTCTACAAATCAAGGAGGTTGACAAACCTGGCCATCTAGAGAAAAGGAACAAGAAAGTTAAAAGGCCTGATTATTATTTTTCTTGGGTTTGTACGACAGAATAGAAAGCTGTTCTCCATTGCCATATAGAAATCAGATATTACAATTGTGAGGGGAAATGGAGAAATAATATTTTATACATTGTAGAGAAAGAAAGATTCCATATGCTGCCAGGAACAGAAAGGCCAAGTTTCAGCCCTCTCCTAGTGGAGCTTTCCATGTCCTTTCTTTATCATTGTCTGACAGTGTCTGACACTTCGTGGCCTGGGAATTAGCAGTTGTACTTTCATCACTTAATATTAGCAGCTCTCCAAACCTAGATGTTCTGCCAATAGCCCTGGGAAAAGAGGATTCTCTTAGCCCAGACTACATTATTGACCCACTAAGAACTACATGATTTCTAACACTATACTGTTGTCACAGCAAAAAGCTTTCAGTGAAAATACTCATTACCACAATTATATCCAAGCACCTTCAGCTCTAGCTCCACTGATGTGCTACATGTGAAGTGGGAACTGTAGATAGATCAGAAACTAAATCCATGTTTTCTGAATCCCCAACAGCATCTAATGCATTAAAACTTCTCAGCTAGCAAAGTTCATGTTCATTTCGCTTTTCCTCAGCTCACAGTAATGTATGCTTGAACACTGGCTACTGAATTCATAAGCATACAATAAATTCACAGCTTGGATTTCAGATAGGTCCATATTATCACTTCCATTAAAGCAAGAAAGAGTAACAAGCAAAACAGCTTCCATGTCCAGCAGAGGCACAAACAAATTTAAACCTTTAAGGAACCTAGAAGCACAGCAGTCCATTCATGTTTTGGGTCCAATGCCTTGATTCTTTTATTTGTTCTCCTGCATCGCCAATCAATATTATTTCCATAACCCTTGGCTGCCTAAATCAGCCCAACTGCAATGAAAAATAGAGTCAGGTATATAGCCTCATGCAATTCACTGGGTACTGGCATTGTGTCTTTTGAACTCCAGTGAAATATCAACATTTTACATGAACAGCTGGAAGTGTCCATTCCTTTCTACTGAATTCCTCTTCTCTCCTAGGACTAATGATCAGGATTTTGCCTTGCTATAGTCTTTAAAAAAATACATCTTTTTGATAGATTCTGTCTTCTGTTACACTCCAAATAAAGCTAATACACTCCCAATGGAGAGACACTTTTTTTTTTTTTAATTCAATTCAAATGACAAGCAGTGAAAGAACCCTGTAAAAAATAAGATTATTTTGTCACAACTTTGCTCCTAGCATGATTTTATATTTCTGCAAGAGATTGAAATCAGTAATAAATAAAATTAATACACCCAGAAAAGAGCAAAACTTCTTTGCAAAACCTTTCAAAGTCTCCTTGAAGAAGGAGGAGCAAGATGGGAGGCCTCGTAGCTCAAGGAACTGCAACAGGACTTTCAGGCACCTGGGTCATGGGCAAATACTCTGCCCTGTTGGCAGTGATGGGATAGGTACCCACACATGCTAGGGAAGTGATTAAGCCTCCCTTTTAGAGAACAGGCTTTTAAAGTATTAATACCTTCAAAACAGACAAAGTTAATCCCATTCTGGGAGTCTAAACTAGGAAACTAATTCAGAGAACAACAACACAGTGATAGCTAGATACATGAGACAACCTGGTATTTACTGTATTATGCAAATACACTTTTCAATAAAGTGAAACACTCAAGAGAACCAGCAACAAAGCAAGATTCCCTGATTCATTCTATTAAAATGCAACAGGCTTTAACAAAGTGCAGCTATTCTATATGTTAACAAGAACTGCAAAGTTTAAAGAATCTAATCCGATCCCCCTGGAAGTGGGTGTGCAGAAACATGAAATCCAACCCTATCATTTGGGTCAATAAAGTTTTGCATATGGCAAGAAGAGAGCTGAGCCGCCTGCAGGGACCCTACTAAGAGCACATCCAAGCTTGTCTGTGTATGCATGCACATATGGTAGGGGAGGAAACTCAGACATTGCAGCAGATGGCCAGATGGCCTCATTTTAACATGTGGTGGTAGTATGGGGATTTGTCCCCCCTTCCCTCTTGGCTAGATCAGCAATTTTATATAGCAATTATCCATACACAAATTCTACAAAAGTATTTCCTAATGACATTTTACTTGGAATGATGATCAAAAGCATATGTTTTCAGAAAGCCCTCTCGCCTGGAAAGTCAGAGAGAAAACCAGTTTATTTGCAACACCACACAGCCACTTTCTGCAAGGAAAGAAATAAGACTGCGGTCAAGTAAGCCTGAGATTTCCCTTAATCAGGAGAAGCCATGCATTCCCAATGGTTAACAGTGAGACAGATATTAATTTTAAAATCTATCATGCAATGAAGACAATCTATAATAAGATGAGCCATTAAAAAACCATCAAGTTAAATTCACACTTGCGGCAAGCCAAGTCAGTGGAGACACTGCTGAAGACACCAACCCAGCTGGTCTACAAAAAAAAATTAAGGTCATGGGAGGCCAATGCTAACACTAATTTATGAAATCACACAGGTGTGCAATATCACAGCAGCCCTAGGAAATGACTTTAAGATTCAGATTCCAGACATCAAGATTAGCAAAATCATCTGGATCAATGTTAGGCTTGCTTCCCAGATGCTGGATCCAACCCACTTTTCAAACCCATTCCAGAAAACTTTGCAGCCACCCCAGCAGAGGGAACAAATCTCTTTCCACTGACTGTTCCCCAAACCTAGTTCAGGAATTGAGAGGCAACTTACAATAGAAAGAGTAACAAAGCAGGCACGAGGAACGGGCCGTGCTACAGATGGTCTCGTTTCACCCCACAACACACCTACCACTGGGGCAGCTTTCACCCTCATGCCAGCCCTTGAGCACCGGGCTTCACCTTCCCGAGCCCCTGCCCACAGCGGACACCTACCCTGGGGGCTCGTGGCCGGCCCGGAAGAGAAAAGCAGCAGGAGAGGGCTCGGGGAGGACCCTCACGGAGCGCTACCGGGGCCGCGGGGCGAGGAACGACGACAGACCGTCCGTGAGGGCCGCCGCCCTCACAACTCCGCCACGCGCCCCTGCTGAAGCGACGACAGCCCTCGCGCAACGCTGCGCCCCCGCGCGGCACCGCCGCCCTCCAACCCTCCCGCCTTTCGCTTTCAGTTCGCCGGGGTGCCCGCCCCCCGCCCTGACTGACACGGACAGGCAACCACTGACCGCTCGGCGTCCCGGCACAGTGGCCAATGGCGGGCCGAGCGGCGCCGCGGCCGGGCGGGGTCAGCACCCGCGGGCGGGCGGCCCGGCCGGTCTGGCGCCGCCATGAAGGAGCCGGCGGCGGCCGAGGAGGAGGTGGTGATGCGGGATTACCTCGCCTACTACGCGTCCCGCGGGGCGGAGGGGGAGCTGGCGGTGTGCGAGGAGCCCTCCCTGAAGGCGAGGGCTCGACGACTGCTCGGCCCGCGGCGGCGCGGCGCCCTGGACGTGTGCGTCGTGGCGGAGCGGTGCCGGAGAGCCCGGGGCAAGCGGGGCGGCGGCGTCCTCCGCGACCTGCTCAAGGCACTGGAGGTGCTGGAGCTGCTCTGCGTCAACCTGCTCCTCTTCCCGTGGCGGAAGGAGATCAGGTCGCTGAAGGTAGGGCAGGGCTCGGGGCGCAGCCCGGCCCGGGGGGGGCTGCTCTGGCCTCGGGGCCTGGCGGCCGCGGGGTTCCGAGGCCTCTTCCCCCGGCCGGTGGCGTGGCAGGCCCCGCGGAGGTGGGAGCAGCGTTTAGAAGCCGATTTTGAACGGGTCGGCTGCGGCCGGAGCGGTGCGAGGGTGCTGTGAGGTGTTGGTTGGCCTCTGCACGCCTCGTTCTCGCCCAGGCTGGGCCCTCCCCAGAAGGGCTGAACAGGTCAGGGATTTGGAAACCTTCGGTTAGAGATATGGTAGAGAAGTAAAAAGGGCCAGTTAAAGGGTTTGACTCATTACTCTAAGTTTTAACCTTAATAAATATAGTTTTTAGCACCGGTTTTGCTAACAGTTTGATGCCAGAGGCCGGGTGGGCAGCATCTCTCTGGTCCAGTGTTTTAACCACCTGACCTAGCTCGGGTGACTGCAGCTGGCAAAGTGGGTAGCAAACCCCACATCGAAAGAGGAAATGCTGCTGCTTTTTGCAGTAAGGTGGTTACGGTTACTCCTCATTCCTAGCACACTGAACACATCTCATTGCCTAGAAGAGACAGCAGACTTAAACACATGCAAAATCTACTTGTATTTAAACAAAATCCCTTAACACCCAAAGTGCAAACTTATTTCCTTTCCTACAGCAACAGGTGTTGGTGAGGAAAAGCCATTTCTTCCCTTCTTCCTGCCCTTAGGTCTCATCTCTGGATTCTCAAACAGCTGCAGATTCCTATTCTCCTCATCTATCTCCCTAAAACGGGATAAAGCATAAGATAGTCAGGTCTACAGTTAGTGGGGTCAGCTTTTCATAACGCAAGAATCATAGGCTTCATTAAAATCAGATTTTGAAGACCACTGTAGAAAATCCAAAGTGCAAGACAGATTGCTGAAGGCCTGAAATAATGCTACTGCAAGGCACAAGTTGGAGAACAACCAGTATCTTGTGTACATATGGGTTTGATAAAAAGCTACTTGTGTGCAGAATACTGCTTCACATATTTCCTGCCTCCCACCTGCTCTGATGTTGTCCCCCCCCGAAGTGCTTGCTCCCTAGTCTCCCTCTGGAAGGAACACAAGCTGGGGAGTGAAAGGCACTGTTGACAGCTTTATCTGAGAATGGACTGAGGCTCAGTGCTGTATTATACTATGGCCTTTTAAGTTAATGGCCTTTTTGGGGACTCAGTTTTGTTCTCCGCAGGCTTGTGAGACCAATGCTTAGCTCTCCGCCTTAGGAAGTAAGTCATTCTCAAGCTGGGCAGCCTGAAAATAAGATACCCCAAATCTGGAAGTCTTGACTTTGCATTCCTGCCTCTGTTCTGTTCTGACTTGCCTGGAGTTGGTCATGCTTAGGTCAGCATGGTCTCTCCTACCATAGCATTTCAGACAAAACCAAAAACCACTTCCAGTTTACAAACTAGGCCTCATGCCTGGGGTACCTCCAAAACCGAGCAAATGTTGAATGATTTTTAAAGTTGTTACACAGCAGCAGCATTTTATTCAAGTCATGTTTTGCAGACAGCTTGTGCAAAGAGAGCGTGTTTTGCCAATATTTCTGCTAGAGTCTTCTTTCAAAAAGGTACTTTCAGAGAAATGGCAACTTAATTTGGGGGTAGTAGAGTTACAGCAGGAGTCTGAACCATGGAAAAAGAAAACGTTACAGTCTTGTCACCTATTAAGAGATACAGTTAATGGTGAGTACCTCATGTCTGTTTCTTTATGAAAAGATTAGGTCTCAGTGATTTATTCTATGAGTCTTGGTTTGTTTAAAAAAAAAAACATTCTTCAGTAGAGCACATAAGACTTATTGCTGAGTTTCTCTAGGTTGACTAAAGTGATTTTCTTACCTTCTTCCTTTTTGAATATTGATGATCATAGCCAGTATCTCAGCAGGTTTAAACTGGCATAACTTCACTGAAATTAATGTGCAAAGCTATAATGCTTGAGGGGCTGACAAAATAATGCATAGAAAAGCCTCGCTCACTCTGATCCAAAATTCAGACTTTTAGGAACAGGGTTTTTTTAAAGATTTAAGGAATTTCTGAAGTACTTCTGATTTTTAGGACGTATTTCATGCTTCCGTCCATCCCACCCCCCCTTGGTGTTCATCTGTTTTTCAATGTTGCATTCTGTTTCAGACATTCACCGGTAATTTTGTCTACTATATTCAATCTGTGCTCCCAGATGACATTGTAAAAACAGTACTGGAGAAAATAGGTTACATTGCAACAACAGCAACAGAGTTTTCACTTGTCAGAAAGAGAAACAATGAGGAAACAAAGCAGACTGCATTTGAAATATTCCTGGCAAGAATTGAATGTGAAACCATCCTTGAAATGACAAATGAAGAAAAACATGGTGATTTGGAGAAGACCCTACAGAACAGAACACAAATGCACTGGCATCATGGAGATAAGGACAGAGAGGATCAGACACTCCAGAGAGAAGATGCTGAAAATCTAGAAAATAAAGAAAACAGTGAGACATCTTTGTGCCTTGCTACTCAACAGAAATCTTCAACTAATAGTGATATATCCTTTGAAGCTGCTGGGAGTCTGCAGATCAAAGATGACACGCCTCAGTTAGCAGTTACTCAATCCACTAACAGGCTTCAGGAACACAAAAGGCAAGTCATTAACACCGTACATTTTCCGGGCAAATGCTCAGACAGTGAGGACTTCTTGATCAAATATAGTGACATTGTCATAAGACAAACACCTATTTTCAGTGAGAATCTTTCTCCAAAAGCTTTTGAAAAAAAGCCAAGAGCCGGTCTAAGCGAAGAATGTGTTTTGGCAGTCACTGCAGAGTCAACTGCAAATGAGATCAGGCCTGTGCCACTCTCACCAGGAGCAAGTGGTCCGCCAGCCTTTGCAATATTTGCTGACAGCTCTTGTGACAGCAAAAACACTTTGGAGTACGAAGCTCAAGAAGCCCCTGAAGAATCAATTGAAGCAGAAATTAACGATGCCATAAATTGCATAGACCTGGACCCTGCAGATGAACCCAATGAGCTGAAGTCCCTGCAATACAAGGATATTACATCTGTCCAAAATTGCAGTGTCCCAAGGGAAGAGGAAGTTTGTGAGCTGTCTTTAACCTTCGCAAAACCACAAGTCAAGGACACTCAGGAAGACCTTAGGTATCCAGTAGAGGAAACTGGTCAACCTGAGTCAGTATCATATGCAAGCACAAGTGACAGGCATGTAAGAGAATTTAATCATTCCAAAATAAAACATACGTATCTGACTAATGCTCAGATACAGAACAGAGCAGCTGCACATACTGAGCAATCTTCAGATCTACGCTGTACTACTGGGAGCATGGAGGATCCCACTACTGGTTCTGATAGCAAAAGACTATTAATGGATACTCCTAATACTTCCGAGTGCTTCAGACACATCAGAGAGCCTCCTAATCTCACCTACATTCCACCACAAAGTATTGATGTTCAGTCTTCACGCATAAGAAGGACCAGCACACAGGGCAGGAGGAACCTCTTGCCATCTGAACATGACGCTCCTGAATCCAGTGAAGTAAATCTGGAGGACTATAATTCAAAAGTAAATGAAATTCAGGAGCCTTATGTCATTATTGACAAAACTGACCAAGGAACGTTATGCCATCACACTTGATTCCACCAGTGCTTTATTTGTAACCTGCCTGGAATTTTTCCTCTCACTTGTGGCCTTCATGATCTTTTCAACGTGATGATTAGCTTTGATAAAACAGTTTAAAAAAAAACCAAAACCACAACAAAACCAAAAAACACCACTGCTTTTGGACAATAAAAAAGGGAAGTAGTTGTACAAATTATTAATGGCCCCTTCTCATCAGGAACCTTTGGCACTGAAGCCTGAATGGTCACCTTTCTAAAGTATGGGCAACTTCCATAAATTTAAATCCATTTAATTCTTTAGCCAGATTCCTCCTCCTGGCTGTACTTTATGCCAGACAGGTTTCCTCAGTTCAGCATGCTTTTACTTTTTTCCCTTTTTGCTTTACAGACCTATTCCTGGTGCATTCCTTCAAATATAGCATGCTGTGCAATAATTAAAACAGGCAAATGTTTCTAAACCAGAAGACCCAACTTTATAGGTTTACAAATGCTATACTGGAGTGTACTTCTGTCAACTCAATACATTTCTATGAAGCTGTGCTCTGAGCTAAGCTTGTTCCTGTTTTCAGTTGAAAATAAGTTCAGAAAGTATGATAACATTCCTTTAAAGAAGGAAATAGCCCTGTGAACACCCTGGGTTTTATAGAGGCAATATCCCCTATTACAGGTCTTATACCTGTCTCTACTTGTTACCAAAATTTTTTGTGGCTGCCACCACAAATTAAAAGAGAAGTGCTGAGCATTGTAACTGTTCACTGGGACTAGAAGAGGGAGATCCAACTACTGCTGCCATTTCCCTTGCCCCTGTTTCTGTCACTTAACTTGGCACCAACTCAAGTTCACGGGACTTTTCTGCAGGCCAGTTCATCTCACTAAAACGAAGGGAAGCAACTGTCATTCTCTGCCACTTTAGTGGCAGGGAAAAAAAAAATCAGACCAGAGAAGGGTGCCAGTGAGCATTAGAGCCAGGATAAGGGATATCCTGTAGGTGGGAGTGCTGTGTGAAAAGCATTGTGCTGAGAAAGGGAGCAGTAGTGTTAGATCAGGCCAGCTGTAAGCTGGAGTCCCAGCACTGAGAACCTCTGTCATACACGTTTAATTACATTGAGAAAAGCACAGAGTTACTGGTACTGTATTTCAGCATAATCCTCTTGCTGAGAGAGACAGTTTAGTTTAATACTGCTTCAGGTAACTTTTGCAGTAGCACTTCAATGCTAAGAATGTTTTGTTGTTTCATGTATAGTTAAAATATTAGCTGAAAATAATTTAGTAAAAATTGCTTATTATTACTTTCATCCCCCCAAAATTCAAAGAAGAGTATGTGGGTTACACTAGAAAAACCTCAGGAGCTAAAATGTGAAGATCTGCTTCTTGAACAACTAATTGTCCCCCAATTCCAGCAATGTAGGAGGAATAAAACTTTGACGAAGTAACACCAAGTGACAGGAGTGCCTTCAGCTTTGGGTGGGGTTGGGAGAAACGTATTATGAACATCCATGCACAAATTAATACTTCTGTACTGGGTCTGGCTAGGATTGGGAGAACTTCCTTAATAGCAGCCCCTGTGGTAGTGTGTTTGGGATTTGTGGGTAAAATTGTTGATAATAGACCAGTGTGTTGGCTATTGCTGAGCAGTGCTTGCACAATGTCACAGCTTTTTCAACTCTACCCACCAACACACTCCCCAGTGAGTAACTAGAAGAGGATACAGCTGGGTCAGCTGGCCTGAAATGGCCAAAGGAATATCCCATACCCTGTAACATCCTGCTCAGCAGTAAAACTGGGGTAGCAGAAGGAGGTAGGGATTTTGTCTACCAAGGTGGCTGTTGCTCAGGGACTGGCTGGACATTGCTTTGCTTATGGGAGAGGGTGAGTTACTGCCACTGCATCACTTGGGGTTTTTTTTCCCCCTCCTCTTCACTTATTAAACCTTTATCTCAATCTAAAGGCAGTCTTGATTTTGCTCTTCCTCTTCTCCTCTGTCCTGCTGGGGAAGTGGGAAGCAAGTAGCTGTGTAGGTGCTTAACTGCTGTCTGGATCAACCCTCCCCCAAAATCCTTGCTCTTCTTTCATGTACCTGTCTGTCCTTCCTAACCATTTTGGTTTTTATAAGCTTTATTTTCCCCCTGTGGGGGTTATTAAAATTATGTGGCTTAAATCTCATCTTGTGTATTATTCAGGAACTGAAATTTAAAACTGCAAAAACCCCTTCTTGTCACAAATGAAGGTGTCTCATAAGTATTTAGATGACCAGTGGTACCTAACTTCCCATTTTTACCTTTCCTGTAGCCATACAAGGGCAAGTATTTAACAGCACCTTACACATGAAAAGGCAATACAAAAGGAAACGGAAGACTACCACTTGAAAAGACACCATTTTGGGCACCAAACTCCATTAATGTCATGCTGCTGGCCTTCATTAAACTTGTTCTATTAACCTCTATTGCAAGAAACACTTTCTAGTCTTTACTAACTTCCCTGACACGCATGTGCACAATTGCTTTTATCGTCATGGTACCTGACATGCAGGAGACATAGGTCTTCACTTTGCTCCTGTTTGAGCAGGGCTTTGGAACAGCATCTTCCAGGTCCAGGAGCGTATGAACAACCTCACATGGGGGGGGGAACAACAGAGGGTCAGATTGGCCAAGACTGGTAAGTGTTGTGTCTACCTTTGTAGGGAGAGTTTCTAGGCACATAAAGTCTTTTGAGTATTTTCATCCGAGTTGGTTATTGCTGCAAGAACACTTACAACTTCTCTTCCTGTACAAGTTTTGAGGGTTTTAAGGTCTTGTCCTAGAAACTACTTTTGTATTTGCAAATTTATGGGGTCTCAAGAGACGACTGCTTTACAGTTAAAGATGTTTATGAAGAGACAGGATTTGAAAAACAGCTGAAATAAAAGATAAGAGATATTTAATAGGCCTTAGGCTGCAGTCCTTTCTGCAGCCGCTCCCACATGAGTAAGGTGGAACTGGGTTTAAAATCCTTGTTGTAAATAGTCAGACCTGATTGATAAGAGGGACAGACAAAAGGCACGTTAAGATTTCTGACCTCATCTGCCAGTGCCCTCCTGTCCTTTTTGGTAATAAACAATCCACATCTTCTTGGTTAATTAACTTAAACAAGAGCAACCACTCAAGCAGCACTGCTAGCCAGCAACAGCACTGCCTGGGCCCCTTTCTAAAGGAAGGTGGTTTGTGTTTCTAAAATGTGTGCTTATCCTCTGGTGAGCTGTCAACTTTAATTGTGCTACAGCTGGTTCTGACTGTCTATGAATTGAATGGGGATTTACTGACTGATTGGATGTCTTTCCATCATAGAGACACAAGGCCAATTCTGTTCCTAAATTTATATGCTACACACAACCACTCTGAATGGCTCAGCTCTCCCAAGCCTTGTATTAGAGAAATTCTCTTTTGATCAGTGTAGACACAGGCTCAGGGAGCGGACCTGGTAGCTGGGTGATATTTGCTCACACCACCTCTCCCCACTGGGTCTCTTAAAATAGTCATTTTCCCCCCCCATAACATTCATATCACGCATAGACCCTTGCCCTGTCTGGAGTTAAGGTGCTCAAGAGACATAGCTTGGTTTTAAAACAAACTTTGTTTTTAAAGCCAACAACAAAAACCAAATTTCAGTGTTAAGACCAAAAAAACCCCCACAGAACTGGAAAGCATGCAAACACTAAATGAATAAACAAAATCACAATTTTCCTCAGAATTATAAACAACTGTCAAAAACAGTTCCCTGAGACACAAAGAAAGCGTACCTGAAAGGGACTGGAAACGGCTTGCAAAGCACTGATGAAGATTATCATTCAGAGCTGTCTCACCACACAAAAACAATTTCTGAAACACTGTTATCATTTTTTACCTTACTTGTACCTAAACACTGGGAGAATAACCACCAGTAATTCACCACCACAACTAAAGGTCCCACCCATTGGACATTAATTGGCACAGCTCTGTAAGTGAGATAGCCGATTAAATCCCAAAAGGGTCCTTTTCACAGCATTAAATAGTAAAAAAACTGAAATTAGGATTGGGATGGAATATAGTGACATCTGCAGAGCAGCACACTCACAGTGGAAGTCCTAACAGCTCAATACTTTTTGTGGTGTATGTGAGGGAGAGGAATGTGTCACTTAACCTAGCAGAGGGCTAGTGGAACAGAGGATACAACGCAAAGCCATCTGTCATAAAAACAAAGTCAGTCAAGTAGTATGTGTGCAATACAGAGGTAACAAACAGAGCCCCTCTGTTCTGTCACTCTCCTTATCAAACCTCTGTATGTGTTCAGAGCTTGCTCTTGTAGGTGCATGTTCACACACCACCTAGCAAAATGGTGCTCTGACCCTGATACACAACAAATAATTACCACTTCAGCCTCTTAAAAAAAATTATAAATGTTCAATTAAATTGATCAGGACTAGACTGAAGACTACATCTCTCTTACGCAGGAATTAATCTACTGCTAGTTTTTTTTGATTTTCAAAAAAACCTCACAACCGTCAGCCCTCTCAAATGCTGCGAGGAAAAAACCACCACCATAATTCTCACCTGACTTTATCCTGCTTTAGAAATCCACGATGTTTACATAAACCTCCATACACTACAGGAAGGACTGGATTCTCCAAGTCATGAAACAGGACAGTATCTTGCTAGAAGAGCCATTATTCAGGAGAGGGACAAGAGAGCTTTGGGTCTGCATCTTTTAACAGCAACTGATGGCAGAATACCCAGCACTTCCTACAGTCTCTGCAGGAGGAAGTACACTGAAGGGAAATGATGGATTATTTCCTGGTGTTGGCAGTAGTTTTGTGTGTTCACTACACCGGTGAAAACAATTTTCAAGGTTTCTTAAGACCTAATGTTTTGGACAGTCACTTCTGAAAAGTTTAATCAAACAAGGAAGGTCTCCTAAGCATGCTTCCCATGCTAGAATACAGTACCCAAAAAGCCAGGCTAATAGAATGCAATTATTAAATGTGTATCTTACTTCAAATCAATTTATATATGCTGTTCCCAGATGCTATTGATTTGCTAAGACACCTTGACCAGGACAAAGTAAATAACAGTGTCTGGAGAAGAAATCATCTACTCAGACTAGGTATGTAATACAGAAGAGGCAATACAGAAGGAGATGAATCACTTTTCACACAGATTGCAGTTTAGATGAGGAACTCATTGTGACAAAAGTAATACCCACAATTTTTACTGATCTTATATATTCCTACAATATACTCCAGAATAGCCAAAATGTATGCAAAACCAGGTATGTATGGTCCAGTCTACAAGTATAGGCTACATCCAACTTGACCAATCTTAAAAGCCAAGAGAAGTGGCAGCTTGTTTATATTATCCATTCCACTCGTACTGAATTTCAGTCTGCCTACAGAAACAACTGTACTTTCTATGGTATTTTGCAACTTGCTTCCCAATCACTGCTTCTTCGACAGTCATAAAAGAAAATACGTATCAGTCTAATGCTGATTGCCCTTTCTTCCCTCCCCACACATCAATTGAGAGATTTCAAGAAACAAAAGCAAATACATTTAAAAAACCCCACCATTCTTAAAAACAGCTACTTATGATTACTGCAATATTTTTATCTACACATCTACAGCACACTGCAAACATTTTACATTTATGACGCATAACAAGCAACCTGTTTGGTTTTGTTCCCAGTTTTCATTAAATACACCAACCTTCCGGTACATGAAAATCCATACATAAAGTTTAATAGATAGCATAACATAAAATAAACATGTTCTCTGTAACCATCACATCTATAATTTTTAATAAGTTACATACATTATTCCTTTATATTCCATTATAATTACAAGTATCAATAACCTACATCCAAACTACAGTTTTGATATAATAAGGGGGGGAGGGAAAGGAAGGGAATCTGAGCAAAAAGTATGCATTTCTTTCAAAAGCTGAAATACAATAGTGAAATTCTTTGCACTGTTAAGATACTCTGTACAAAACAATTACGTGGTATTTTCTGGACTGTGTGCAAAATATACATCCTTGGCTTCTACAACCCGTAATGAAATTAGAATTAAGAACAAACTGCAGATGACTGAACTTCAATTGTATAGAACTATTTCCAAAGAAAACATTCTTTTGGTCTCTTACAGAAGAAAAAAATTTGAAAGTTTAACAGAATATTTCAAGAATGACTACTATCATCCTATAAATAAGCTTCAATAAATAATTACTTAACACAAAAAAAAAATCTTAAGCTAGAATTCTAAACATTCACAACAGAATAATAGAATGGCAATACTGGGTTCACAAGGTTTAGTATACTAATTTAGTACTTCACTAGGAAATGCTATCTCAGTGCACTGACCATTATTAAGTTGTACTGATTTGGGGAAAAAAAAAAAAAAAAAAAAAAAGAAAAAATATCCCACCAGATGGAAATAACAAGAAATGAACCGCATTTCCTGACTTGGAAAATGGTGCAGTCATTTCAATACAGTGATTCATAGACACACCACAAAACCAGCTACCACAAAGCTACAAAATGAAAGCAGTGAACTGATCTTAAAAAGTAACACCATCAAGTATTGTTCAAAATCAGGTGGAACATGGAAAAGCCAAGTAACTGAAAATTTATATCCTCCAACAAGTTACAGACAAATGTGTGCAATAAGTGATCAAAGTACTAACTGAAGTCTTGGACATTAGCCGTTTTTAGGAGCATTCACTACAAAAACTATGATAGATGCTCAGCTATATTACTATAAATGTTTTAAAGCACTGGTTAGCCTTGCTTGCTGCAGTGAAACAAAAATTATTACAGAAAAAAAAATATTATATACTGTTCTTCAGGAATCATTCTTCTCAAATTAAATAGAAAAAGTAATGTGAAAACATAACTGCATTAAAATGATTATCTTGAAGACAATGCTCAGAGGGTAAAGCAGAAATTAAGGGCAACTCAACGCTTCAGCTAACAAGTGCAAGAATGAAACCCCCACTATTTTTCTCTACTCTCCAAGTGCCTGTAAATCACAAACTGATCAAGATATGAACCCAAAGAGCCATCTGTATAAAGTACAATCAAAGAATTCAGAATAGTTAAGAAATCACTTAACTCTAGGTTTTTTAAAAACCATCTGAAAGGAAGAACAAATATAGTTCTGTGCACTCTGTATTTTCACTAGTCCTCAGCTTGGCTATAGCAGGGCCAGTGATTTCATGAACAGTAGAGAGAAATAATCCCTTTTAAAAACCTAGCTTAATAAAAAGCCTCAGAGCCCTCTTGCAATCATTTATGAACACGGTTATTCTTTTTTTGCCACTGAATTTAGTAGGACTATACTAATGCATAGTTATTTTCAGAACTACAACCATATTGTGATTTCATGCAAGGCACAAGAAACTTAATGAATTCAATGAAACTGCACTAGTGTAAGTAGGATTAGAGTAAGACCCCCTGTTTCAACCTGGTAAGACCTATTTAACAAAGCTACTTTAACTTGATGCATTCATTTGCTGCTTCTAATAACAAAAAAGGACATCCCACCTGTTGTGTGGAACTGTCTTTCAAATTACAAAATTAGGGTTGTCTCTGGGGAAAAAAAAAAAAAAAAGAAGAAACTTAGGTTACTTCTAGGAAGCAGCAGTGAAGTGGGAGGAGGGAGAAATAGTCATATTTTAGCTGAATAGAATTGACACAGTAAAGTTGATGGAGAACCTCAAAACATGCAAGGGAATTGGCTTATATTCTGTTTATGACTTGTACCTGAACATTTCAGAGCAGTAAGTCCACAACATTCTACAAAGCATAATTCTAAAGCAAAACCCATTATATTTAGAAATACTAAAAATACTCAAAATTTCCCCCAAATCAGTCTTCATAAACATGTTTTTTACAACACAACAATCACAGACTTCTATAAATGGTGTTGCATACTATATGGGTTTAGTATTTGGTCCCGGTTTTCTTCATACTTTTCTATCATTTTCTGCATGTCATGGTCAGCTCCAATAACCTTGAAAAGAATAACATGAACATTAGAAATAATTGACACCGTAAAACATGGTTGCTTTTGGGCAAAATAGAACAGGACTACCACTGAAGCCAATCGATATACTCATAGAGATCTGTCCAGTTAGCTTTCTGTTCAAAATTTGGCATTCACTGAAAAGCTACACATCTGATCCTGCAAACAATCACAGTGAACAGACCCTCAAATTCCATCGAAGAGATGAAAGACCAGGCTTTAATGCTATACACTACGTATAATTGGTAAACATTTTTGGGGGGGTTTCTTTCTCCACAGGTTATTAGAAAAGCAGATTTATTTCCTTTTACCACTAAATAACACTCCTAATATTCGAAGAGTACAATCCTCCATATGCTTAATTGTTTATAACTAAAATAATACTCACAAGCACTGGGCAGGAAACTTCAAACAGTGTATGTTTAATGAGCCACTCTTCGTAGAGCTGGTGAATAGCTTCTAAATATTCCTAGGAAAGAGGCATTCAAATAAGACATATCATATACTCAGGGTTGGAACACACATTGCAATTTTTATACATTTGCTAAGTAGTTAAGAACTGCATATAAAAGCCAGCATTAAATATTTCCACTAACAAAAATGAAAAGCATCAGAAGGTTTCTGAGAAAAACTAATTCCCAGTACAAGGTTTTACTCCACAAAGAACCTCAAAGACACAGCTTACAGGAGCACAGGGCTCTCAGCTCCTTTTAAGATCAAGAGCCATGTTTCTCTCCCATAGGTATAATGTGGCTCAAGATTTTACAGAGAAAAATACAACAAAGAGAAGTAAGGACAAAAAGGATAAGACTACAAATAATATGTATTGAAGGCACTCTCTGTGTCAATACATTTTCTTAAAATTCCCAGTACACTTTCTCCTAACTGACTCAATTTCCTCTAAAAGCACTGCTGCCTGTCATCACCTATTAGTTTTTTTTCATGGAGACCACTTAATATTTTCCATTCATAATTACTTGCCCCCACCCCTCAGTAAAGCTGCAAAGTAACACAATATCTGTTCATTATAGTGGGGATCTATTCTCCAAGGCAAAATTTCACATGGCCCAAAATTTAGCTCATTGCATATATCTTCAACTGACAATTGTTTCTACTGAGCTACCCAAAACTAGAGATACCTTGTACTATACCGTATGTCTTATGTCACTACATCTATTTATGATTAGGCTTTCTTTAGGAGAAAACTTGTTTAATGAAGGAGCATTCTGTAAACTGTGACACAGAAAGTGACTATTCAATTACTGCAGTTTATTTTTAAGCAGATTCCCACGCTAACCGTTTTCAAGAATTTGCTTCTTTTCAGACACAGAGACACTTTGCATGCATACACATCCTGGTAATAGCAGACAACAGAAAGTGCCCAAAGCATCTGCATGCATAGGTATTTGTGCTTCAACTGGGTGCTTTTATGCTCTTTAATGATAAAAAAGCAATTGCCTTTTTACATCTTACAGAAGATTAACAGTTGATTAATACCCCACCTAAACAGTCACCTCTAGTACACTGATTATTAAACCATAACACTTGGGGAAGGCAGCGTGCATGATAGATAATTTTTTCAACATATATCAAAATTAAACACTGTAGTTTTAATCTGCAGTGGAAACAGCTGCACCACATTTTGGCAATATAGTCAGGGTATTCTTTTAGTATTTAGATTGGAATCGTTATGTTTTTAAAGCTCATTGTAACCACATATATTGAAGGAACTCCTTACCAGAGGAATGATCTTTTCCTCTTCTCTGCATCTTCTCTTTAATCTCTCATAACAAACTTCAGGAGAAGTCTGCAGATAAACTGTCATAACAAAAATAGCTATGGTCAAGAATCAGCTTTAAAAGCAAAGAAGAAACTTACTTCACAAACTACAGAAGAATCCTGACTTGGGTACCACCACTGAACCTCCCCTTTGGCGTGACTGTTCATCAATCCATTAACCATCCACAAATTCATGCTGTCTGATGCTACACATTGCAACCACTATTATATTGAATAATGTGATTATTTATGACCCAAGAAACAAGAATTACTTTTTCTCCCAGTAGGAAAACCCACCCACAAACATGCCCTTCCAGATCCCATCAAAATTTTACCTATCATATCAACTGAAACATCAGTGTTGCTCTGGATCCAGTCAAACCATTCAGTTAGGACAACATAATCCACCTCGGGCATTTTTCCGCTGAGTAAAGATAAAAGTCATCACTCACTGAACAGCATGCACAGATCAATTCTAAACTATTTTTTTTCACCTGACTAGAATTACTCCCAATTTACTCTAGCACATGTCAAATTAAAACAAGACCACTATTATCCCCACCCAAAATGAAGGCCTCAAAGCATTGTTTATACAATAGGAAGACCAAATATTTTTCTTTCTTTAAAAATAAAGTGCTTACTAACACAAAGTTTTTATTATTAACAGTTACAAACATTAACTATTTTTCCCACTACAGTTAAGAAATAATTACTTGGTGACTAAAAAGAAAAACATTGACATTATTGACATTTATACAACAACAAATTAGTGTCAATGGAATTTACTGCTCAAGTTCTTGTTATCAGGATCATTTGAAATATATCTGAAGTACTGCAGTGCCTGTCACCAGAAAGGCTTGATTTACTAAGGAGCACTGACAATTTATTACAGAAGCAAATTACAGTAAAGAGCAGTGAAAAAATAATGACACCATGTAAATAAAATTTACTCCCACTCTAAGAAATATCTGTGAAAAGAGTACTGGAATATTCAACATGCTTAATTTAAAGTCTTTATTTAGAGAACACAGACAATATTGGAAACAACTGTTCAAAAGTTACCTCAGTAAGAATAATAGAGTATCGAACAACTCATGTAAAAGGGAGTCTATAGAAGACATATTAAGAATCACATGTTTTCCTAGTATCAGAATTTTCACTTATTTGACTATTTAGGAATATGGTACTACTACTAGTTTTATATTATTCTGTCTTCAAAACTGGTGACAGTAACACATTCTCCCTACTCTCTCCTAAACGCCTCTGCAATAGAAATGTAAAAGGGAGATCTGAGTTGAGTGGCTCCTGTCCTCTCCAGCTGAATAATTAAGACCAGTTGCAACATTTTAAATAGTGCTGAAGAAAAAGATTCTACAGATTTCTAAACCATTCCCCTGGTAACACGCTTTCATTACTGGCGAAACAGTCAAGATAATCCAGAAAGGTATTTCCACTTCTTAACTATGAAAGAAAGCAAAACCTGTATTGGTAACACCTCCCCTTCTTTATCTGCCATCCAGCTGAATATCTTGCCTCCCAAAGCACCCAAGAAATGGGATAACACATTTCACCGCTGTTCTTCTAATACACCAATTGTATATGTTTCGGGGTAGCAGGCATATACATAAGCCAAATATAGATTCTGCTACTTTTCTCCAAGATACATGGGGCAAACAGGAAAGTCAAAAGGAAGCAGACACAAGAAAAAGCCCTGCTGTTCTTACCCTAAGACAGATACACCCAGGTCAATTCTGCATTGACCTGCCCGCAGACAACTGGGCTTTGCCTTCCCTGTGTAAGTGGAGTCCCCTGGATAATCCTGTGAAGATTCTGGGTCAGGCTCAAGATCCATAAAGATACAGGTAATGTAAAAGGCACAAAAGGGTGTTTTAATCTCAGAAGTTTGCTGATATTAGACTCCTACCAAGTAGTTTTTACTGCAAAATTTAAACATGGAGTGAGCTTTGTATCATAAATAACTATGAATTCAAATGGAACAAAGAGAATTGACAGTGCTTATCCTATAACATATTATGCATACTCACGTGCACACATTTTAAATTCTTCTAAAGTTTTACACCTAACATGAGCGTGTCTTTCAGTGCTAAGCTCAGATGTGCAATCGCAGTAAGAACTTGGACACTCATGCATATCACTGCATGCCGGAGAAGCTCACAGCAATTGCTCACAATTTAAGCCTTCCATCATCGTCGTAAATCTTACTCTATTTCTCTCTGGGAAAAAGCCTGCAAAGCCAAAACACAAATACTGAGTGACACTGGATCAAATAAGAGCTGGTATTCCTGATGTTCCCACAGCTCTTCATCCTTGCTTAAACTAATAATTCTCCTAAAGGAGAAGAGCTTGTGTAGACTAGAGATAATGGATTCTTCTCCATCTTTAAGACTGGGACCCTAAACAATACCTTCTTTTACAGAAAAGCAAGCATAAAATAACCTCTGCTCTTTGCAGCATGCTTACCCCATTCAGTCCAAATCTTAGCCTGAATTTAAAAAGTCCTATTTATTTTTTACATACTTTTAATTGGAAAATGCCTTCTATACAGCTATTTAACAATCCCTTTGATGAAGACACATATTGAATCGCTTGAGCCTGAGGTGGGGGTTTGATAACATTTTCAGCAAAATTAAAAATATGTCAGGTCAGTTTTGTCTTCCAGACTTTCCATCACACAGGCATAATTCAATTTCTACAACGGGCAACCTCTCCTGTGCTCTCTGCATGATTTTTGCATGCTGACTAACCTACACAAGAATTAGGATCCCTCCCTTACAGTGACAGGAGATTCCTTCTAGGAAATAGTAACAGGGAAAGAAAAAGCCTCTGGAGGATACAAAGGAATTTTCCTTTGCAAAGTCTGTTTCGCTGCAGAAAGATTTTTTTAAATTTTCATGCAACAGTTGAACAAAAAAAAACCCCACAGCATGGGAAGCAAATCGTTTTAAGTTATAAGGCCCTTCCCTTGCCACAGGGCACTATTATCCTCTACATAAAAGTATCAAGTGTAAAGAAGTTTCTATTTTCTCTTTGTTCCTCTGATGGCTAAGACACAATCTTCTCATTTTTAGCCCTTAATTTATCCACAGCAGTTTTGTATCTAATTATTCTTTTGTTATTATAGTCCTGCATTTCAATAACTCCCATTTTGTCTGTTTGCACCCACTGTGCCCATAGGTGACCAGTGTATTCTCCCAACTTTTCTATGCAAGTCAGCTGGTTTTGTCTCTTTAAACAGGCTTTGCATTCTTTTGATCATGCCAGTATTTCAGCTTCATACCTGTTTCAGTTTTAGTTCATAGATCATGAACGAACAGTTAAAAGTGTAAAAAGTAATGTTAAAAAGCTCTCATAAAAGCTGTGTACAAAAGCACTAATATTTCCATCTCTTCCTGGAAGCCTTTTGCCAGACACTTCCAAGAGTCACATTTACTCTTCTCTGGGCTACTCAATACTAGTGTTATTTTGTGATCAATTCTTGTTTCTCTATAAATATATAGAAATATATATATTTCTGCTTTTTGACTTACAATCTTTAATCTTGTAGTTGAAATTTCTGTTGTCAGTTCAACTGAATGATAGGATTTATTAGCATACTCTCACCCTTTGTACCAAAGCATCAGTCCAAAGGCTGATCCAACACGAGTAACCTCATGTTGGACACATCCCCTTTCAATATCTCCCTTCAGTGGGATCTCCTATCCCATTTCAACACCAGCTTCTGCACTTATGAATAATCACTCATGAAAGTCTCCCAAAACCTCCTTGATAAATACGTAACTATCGTTCAGATTGATGAGAATTCATTTGGTCAGAGGTCAGGGGTGGAAATGTTACAAAACACAATTACTAGATTAGTCTAACATGCTGTGTTGTTCATCGCTGACTTCTCATTTTTGTCCAAAGCCTAAATTATTCTTTCCTTCCATCATTTGTTTTGAAGTTGTGCTAAATACTGAGGGAGATGAACAAATCTGCAGTTCTTAAGATTACTTTCCCTACCCCCTAACATGGGCTCTACAATAGCTGTTTTAAGTCACAGGGGTACTGCCTCTACATTATGATACATTCTCCTACTGTAAGACTTCGTGTGTTTTCTGAACTCTGAAATGGACTTCCTTTCTACTGTAATCATGGTTACCACTATCTCCACACTCCCATTGTCTTTTCTTATATGCAGTTTTCTTTCCTGTACACAGAAGTACGTATTAGTTTTTGAGACTACTCTAGATGATCTTTAAAGAACTACGGCGGGTAGGATAGGGTAGCAATCAAACAACACAGAGTAAAGCTACAGAACTGCTTGCCACAGAACCTCCTGAAAACTAAAGTTTTACATGAGCTTAGAGGGGAACTGGACAGGTTCATGGAAAAGAAACGCCCTGTAGATTACTAAATACAGAGGAACCACGGCTGAATAAGGAAGTCCCTAAACTGTAAATTACTGGATATAATCAGAAATTATCATAAATGCTTACCCTGCTCTTATACTCTTTTCAAGTACTGTTGGCCACCACTGGAGACAGGATATGAAGGAAAACAGGTTTACTTATTTTTTTAAGGTGACTCAAAATAGCTATTTTCACATAGCCCAAATTTTTCCTTGTTTTATTTATAATCCTTTTATACACCCTTATATCATATTTTGGTTTGCTACTGGTAGCATCATCTGGCTTCTAGCTTGCTGTAACAAAACAAAGCAAATGCCTTCTGTCCAACATTAAAAAGTGCTGAAGCCACAAAACATCTTTGATGCCCTTAAAAGCTTTATTACAAAATTAATACCTAGAGTTGACACAAGCAGACTTAGCCTCATAGCAACAAAGTTCTCAGTCTTTGGGACAAAAGCACTTTGTCTACAAATAAAAAAAAAGGTAATTAAAAATGAGAGAGACATTTCCACTGTATACAGACTGGATAAATAACGTCTCTTTCTGTTTGCCTCGCATCTTTCTGTGTTGCTCTCAACTTTCAAAGCAGTTGCAGTAACAGACTAGGAGCTTATGTAGCATGGATGCCATCTTGTGGCACGCAGCCATTCTCCCTGCAGATAGGGGCAAGAAAGTAGTTTTGTCCCTTAAAACCATTGAAAAATCCATTGAAACAACAATCTGTTACATACACTTCTCAATAGAGGGTCAGCATTCCAAACAAATAATAAAAAAAAAAAAAAGGCAAACCAACCCAAACAAACCCACATCAGTGCTGATTATTGCACTGTTTTAGTTTGTGTGGGATGGGTGACTTACACATTGGCCAGGTAATTTTATCCCCCAGGACAAAATAACCCAGGTTAGGCCCGACTGCTCTACCTCTGGCCCAAGCATACCTGGGGGTGGGGATGTGATTAAGAAAGTGACAAGCAGCTCTTGTTCTTTCTTTACTCACCAGCCTTACCAAGGTTTGAAGCCTATTTTGATCCTGAAATCCTGATTCTGAGCATGTAACTCGAGTTCCTGCTTGCAAGAAATGCCAATCCCAGATGCTAGGCTGGGTACCCCTATCTAGTTTTGTGTCTCCTACAGTGTTATTCTTCATATCCTCATGGTTTTCTACCTGTTCAGTATGTGTCTGCTTTGATTTAAGCAAGACTTTCGTATTCAGCTGGAGAGCAGATAACTTCAATAAATGGTGTTCTAAATAATAAGATGTTCTAAATACACAAGAGCACTTCTGAAAAAGGCTCTCACCTGGCCCATGTCCTACAGGTTTTACTGTACCCGTGGACAGCATGTCCCATACAAAACACACTGCCACTCCAAGACAGAACTGACAGATTTCACTGACCACTTAGATCCAAATTACCAAAGAAATCATCACTTGATTATATGTATTTTTTTAATCTGATTAAGTCAAGAAAGTAAAATAGGAAACCATATACCATACCTTCGATACAAATTCTCTACAAAAATGTATTTTGCACTGTGAATTGATCGCTCCATCATTCTTACAGGGGAAATCTACAAAATAAAACTTGAGTCACTGACTAGTTTACATTTTTCAGCATGTTTGTTTCTTTTCAAGCTCATATTGCACTATGTCCCTTACCTTACATATTTTCAGTTCTTCCAGATCTTATATAAACAAATTTATTGGGAGGATGGGAACCACAATAAAAAAGTAATCCTAATCCTATTTACGATCACTGCATTTGTGACATAACTGATTTGTTATTCATATGCAAGTTTCAAAGGTAACTGCAGAAGCATTCAACTGAGCAGCTGAAGTTAACCCGGGGTCCAAAAAATCATCAATCTACTTAGGATTTGCAGAGAAACAGGAACTATTGCTACCTGAATTGTTGCCACCTTCAGATGTGTTACAATGTCAACAGCACAGGCCTAACATCAGCAAAACTATTACAAGAAAACAGAACATTCAGAGGAAATAGTTAAAACTGACAAAGCACTGCCCTTAGCCAGTTTTGCATGTGCCCAAACAGCACTTCACTTTGGAGAATAGACACCAACACTCTCTGACCCTGCAGAGCAAAGCAACCCTGGCAGAGCTCTTTCCAGCCAGGTATTCTGCACATTAATCACCACAAAAGCAACAATTGCTCCAGCAAGGCTCAAATGGCAAATGACAGCAAAGCTCAGACTGAAATGCAGGGTGAGCCTCAGGAATTTTTGAACGAACTTTTTCTGCAGCAGAACGAGGTTTCTATCATCTTGGAAAAACACCACTTCCAGAAAGCTAACGACTACAATGTGTGGTATAACTACCATATGTGGTACTTCTGCAATTTTGCCCTGATGCAAACTCAGAAAATACAATGCAAGAACAGTCATTAAGATATAAGCGTGCCACCTAAATTCACATCTTGTAATCAGGGAATGGAAGATTTAGCACAGAACGTAAAAAAAGGTGTTTGCAGGAAAGAGAAGTGAACAGATCTTGATAAAAAGGTGCAGTGTGTGAATCAATACAGAAAAAGTAAAAATTACAAGAAAAAAAGGATGCAGACCATCCAAAAGAAGCAACAGAAAATTTTATTGGAAGTATTTTGAATAAACATAAGAAGCAATGGCTAAATTTGTGCTAGTCAGGATGGAGCAGTGGACTGAATACTGACACTATCTTTAAGATTACTTAATGTTTGCCACACATTTGAAATTTAGCTAAATTTGCACAGACACCACTTACAAGTCACTGATGTGATAATGAAGAGATCTGTACAAGTCTAGCTCATCAGGGCAGTGCAAAAAAAAAGCAGTGTTAGGTTGGGGAAGTAAAAGTTCTGAGCAGGTAGGAAACGGTTATTTCACACCTGGAGCATGTTAAACGTATCAACAGTATCTTTGCACCATAAAAATTCACACTCACTGCAGGAACAAAGAACGCAAACAGCATCTTAACTTTGGGATACAAGGTTAAAAATATTTATTACCTGTAGCCACATCAAGAGAAATATGTTTACTTACCATTGGTCTGGTATGCTGCTCCAACATTGTAAGCTGTATGTAAGTCTGTAATGTTATCCCCCATCTTGAAGCATCTTGGTACATTAAGCCCTGGGGTTAGAGATGGAAGCAAGACAGACATTTTTGTTAGGTCAAACAGCAAAAAAAAAAAAAAAAGTGAAGTTGGATATTTAGTAAGCTTTTGTACTACAACAGAATTGCTAAAAGAAGTGCACTAAAACAGCTGAAAAGGTTTGACAAGAATTAAGTACAGATGTAAGAATTACAGTCCTGGTCCTCAGAGACACTAAGTGGAGCACTTGGAATGCTCACTGAAGTCAACAGGAATTAGTTACTCTGCACCTGGAATGGTCAGGACCAAGGCACAGCTCATTTGAGAACAGTTCAAATATGTTTAGTAATTAAAATAACGTATAAGTTACTCTATTTTTGTGCACTGACAGACTCTCACTATACCAGTCCATCCAGAAATGCATATATGTTCCAATAAGTACATTCTGGGCCTCAGAAAAGGTTTCTGTTAACACAGACAATTGTTCTTCCCAAAGGATCCTCAAAGCAGTTCTCAGATCTTCTACTCTTACTGATTGCCGCAATTCCACACACACATACACTTAGAAGCAATGGTCCACCCTGCAAAGCAAAGACCTGACTCAAAATACAACATCATTCAGTGTTTATTTGCTGAGGTGATAAGCTTTAAGTCAGCAGCATGGCTTCAGTCTGCAGATCTGACTCCTCCTTTTCTCCCTGCCCAAGATCAAAATGAAAAAGTATCCCAAAGCGCACAGATTGCTGTGATGATGTGTGATACAGCCAAGCATGCCCTATCCCTTTACTAATAATAAGGAATTAAAGCATCAGCAACTCCTAGTAGGGAGAATTTACTTTTTCAGATGACCTATGCTAGCAGTAATGGTATCAAATACACGTTTGGGCATGTGTGGTTTGGGGTGTATCCACACTGCTGTGCTGACAGCAAATACCACCTGAGTTTGAGCACAGATACCCATTCTCAGCCAGCAATGAAGTTTTTGCACTGGAGGTGATCATACAAGCAGGGAAGAATGACATCAGAAACCACTTCAACCATCCCAGCAAAAACGCATCTGCTGACATAGTCAGAGCCCTGACTGCTGTCTCGGAGCACAGCTGTGACAAAGGAACATACTTGGGAACAGTTCCAAGAAACGATGACTTCCTAAAAAAACACAGAGGCTCTGAACACCCCACAGGACTGAATCTTCCTTATCTTCAGCAGTCAAACAATATCCACCCCTCACTTTCTGAGTGACCTTCTTCCCTTCTTTGAAATAGGCAGAAGTAGATTTGGAAACAACTGTCACACTCAGGGCTTACCTTTCTATGATTTTCTTTATCTCATACCCAGTAAAAGAACCAGTCTTTCCCAAAACCACATATTATATGCAAGTCTTAATCACAGTGAAAGATCTTTTGTATCACAGAGTTTTATTTTTTGCTGTATGAGATTATGACCTTTCGTAACAGCTTTGCTGATTGGTAAGAAGTGCTCATGCACATCTTTCTGAAAGAACAGTAATTGTAATTGTAGAAATAATTTCTGCCACTTACCAGGATGTTATGACCACGAACATTCCTCCACTTACTCACCGGTTCTGTCAAAACCTTGTTAAAAAGAATTACTCCATGTTAAACATGTTTTTTTCAAAATACTTAATTTGACCCTACAAGTCTACAACTATTTTTAATGAATACTCATTCAGTAAGTCAAAGTATTCAGGAATATTATATTAGAAAGCTCATCCCTCCTCAAAAAAACAGCACTGAATCCTGTAATACGAAAGGTAGCAACGAACACTGTTAAAAAAAATAGAGAAATATCATTATACAACATCTTTTTGTCATTTTCAAACCACCAAAATGAAATACTGATTACCTAACAAGCCTGATTTTCAAGTCAAAATCAGTACCATGTAAGGGAAAGAATGGCTTAGCTGAGTACTGACTGCATTTCAATTACCTGCTTATTCCCTCAGAAATTTATTTCTCAGAGAATAACAACTGTCAGCAAAGAGGATCAGACTGATATCGTATTACTTTTATTTTTGTGATCTAACAAACAAAATGCATTCAAAACTTTTACTAAATTAATCAGAAAAGCTTCTACCCTGAATAGGTAAAAAAATCACAAAAGCCTCATATGGTTCAAATAGGGTCTAAAACTCCACCCATACTGCAGAGCCAGGCCTGAGACGATCTGATAAGCCTGAGAAGTTAACTAGTTTTTTAAAAAATGTTGCACTATATGCAAATTAAAGTTTGCTATCCTTTGGGTTAATAGTCATTTACTCCGTAAGGATCATTCCTGTTAAATTACCAAAAAACATCTGGCAACTCACCATTTCTACGAGGAATCCTAATACTTATTATCAAATTCCCAAGTTCCCAGCTCTGCCAGGGAAAGTATTAATATCTGAAAAGTATTAATATCTGATGTACACAAAAGCAATTGCACACTGAGGTCTGATCTTGATTTTGTTTCAAATACAGTAAGCCTGCCCTTCTTCCCCTAATCTTGTTCTAAGCAATAAGAAACCAAATACCATGCCACTCAAAGAAATCTCCAGAAACAATTCTAACAGATATTTCATTTTTTAAAAAAGCCATCCATTTCCTGGGATCTCAGTTACATGACATCAGTATCTTTACATCATTACTTGTCTTTAATTTCATGATTAGAAGATACATCCAAGATCTAAGTGACATGAAATAGCAAACAAGCACGCCCAAACATGCTCAACCCATGTGGGCTGCTGTTACTTTACCGAGGTACAAACTCTAATCCACAGGTTTTTTGGCAGCCAGTAGTGTAGTACATATGACCTACATTTCTCTTCTACAATTTGACTATAAATAGTTGAGGGAGGGGGACATGTGCCAGTAAGTGCCCTGACTCACAACCTGCTGCTCCTTTCTCATTAGCCTAAGAAAGAGTAACACTTCTGTCAATTTTATCAAGAGAAGCAACTGCTCAATGATGTAAATGAAGACAAAGAAATGTACATCCAGTACCTCAATGCTGGTAGTTTGTGCAAAATAATCCAGGCATGTTGTTTTTCCACTTGCAATGTTCCCCTCGATACATATCTGATGAAAAACAGCATCACATTTTAAAAACTTGCTATTGCATAGTAGTAAACAGCATATGTAAAAATACACTCTTTCCGCATCTAGCATACTATTTCCCTATAATAAAAATAGATTCTTTTCCAGAAAGACACAGGGGACCAGTCTGGATTTCCTGACTCCCCACTTTTTCTCTCCCTGACATACACATACCAACTGTCTCCTCGCCAGGCACGGGGCAGCCTTACAGCCTGCTGCCTGCTCCAGCTTCCTGCAGCCCCAAGGAGTCTCCCTGGCTGCCACAACTCACCTGAGACTTCAACTTCACTTCCAACTTAAAATAAATGCCAAGTGAAGTAATAATTTCAGTACCCATTAAATAGCTTAAACCTTGAGATACATTAACATTTTCAGAAACCTGCACAATTAAAATAAACTAAGAGAATTTTGTTTCAGCTGTCTTACAATAATTTGAAGTAATTAGACTCCAAATACAAACAAAAAAAAAAAAAAAAAAAGCAAACAACTCACAGGCAATCCCTCACGACTCTACCGTGATTTACAGACCTACCTGAGCATAAGTTTGCACCAATTAAGACCCAGTAATGGACCCACCACCTGGACACCACTCAGTAAAACAACCATGTCCAGTAAAATAAGATGTTGCACATTTTACATAGTTTTCTGAACAAAATGCAAATACTTACAACTGTCTTTCTGTTATCTTCTTTTATCAGATGCTTATCTAGAATGGAAATAAACAGGAGTTACAACCAAGAAGGTCTTCATAACTTACTGTTATGCTAAGCCTCCTAACATGAGCCCTTCCACGAAGTTTTTAGATTCTCTATTGCTTACTACAAATACTTGCTAAAATTCTGATCTTTAGTCTTTTGGGTAATCGTTGGGTCACATAATAGACATGTCACGGCACTCACCGACACTGTTTCAGCTTAAGTTCTCCATTGGCCTTGACACTACAAAGTCAAATGGTGAGTGCCTCCACTCTTTCAGCAGATTTTTGTTATACTTACTGCTCCTCAGACAGTTTTCACTGGGGAAAAAGTTAATTTTGGAAAGGCCAGCCATGGTGCGATGCCCACTCGCAGCTAGGTCACAGGCCTAGCTACAAACGATCAAGATTCTAGGCCACCTCCAAGACAAGAAATTTAGCTGCCTTATGTCTCCAAACCGCCTGTAAGACTTCTGCAAGCAATGCTAGGGTTACTAGACGCTTAACAAAACACAACGCACAAAAAAAAGCAGTGCTGGTACCCCAGCACTGCCAGGGAAGGACCGCAGAGATTATCAGGGCCACGACGTACTACAGCCGGGAGCAAAAGATTTATTCAGGGCGGAAAAAAAAGAGAGTAAGGGGGGGGATCCTGCCGCTGCCCTGCTCCGAGACTCGATGGCTGCTCGCACCGGCGCGGAATCTAATGAAAAAGAGATCGACGCTCCCGCCGGGGCAGCGCGGACGCGGACACGGACGCGGACGCGGACTCGCCCGCCTCCCCCCGCAGCGGGGTCCCCGCCGCCGCCCCCGCGGGCTTACAGCCGCCGGCGCCGCTGGGGCCGTGCCGGGAGCGCAGCGCCAGCCCGCCGGCCGAGGGGCCCGCGGCCGCGCAGCCCCCCGCGCCCAGCAGGCCCCGGGCCCCGCGCAGCGCCGCGGGCCGCGCCCAGGCCGCCCCCAGCCGCCACATGGCCCGCGGCCCGGCCCGGCCCCGCCCCGCCCCGCCCCGCCCCGCCCCGCTTCCGCCGCCCCGCGCTCGCTTCCGCCGCCGGGCCGCGGGGCGGGGGCCCGGCAACGCCCGGCGCCATGGCGGGGGTGGCGGTGGACAGAGGCTTCGCCCGCTCCCCGCGGGGCGCCCTGAAGCTCGCCCGCACGGTAGGCGCTGAGGGGAGCGGGGCGGGCCGGGCCGGGGGTCGCTGCTCCGCCGCGGCGCTCACCCCGCGTCCCGCCCCGCTCCCCTCAGCTGGCGGCGTTCGCAGCGTTCCTGTGCTTCGCGGCCTCCCGCGCCCACGGCGCGTACACGGCGCTGGCCGGCGCGGAGCTGGTGGTGACGGCGGTGTTCGGCCTGCTCTACCTGCTGAGGCTGGACGCGAGGATGAGCTGGCTCTTCTGGCCCTTGGCTGTGAGTGGGGGCTGGCCCGTAACACGGGGAGGTTCTGCCCGCTCCGTGACGGCCCGGGCAGGGGGCTGTCGTCCGTCAGCGCAGACGTTCTTTCTAGAAAGTTAAAAAAGCAGTATTTCGCTTTTGTTGAAGCGGTTTTTCCTAGCAGGAGGGACAGTGTTCTTCTGCATCGCTTTCCAAATAGCTGGCTGACAGCCCTTAACAGTCCCTCCCGGACTGAGCATCATTTGATTAACTTTACAATACGGTACTTTCCAGCTTTCACAGCACAAACATACGCTTTCACTTAAATGCTAATGAGTTCTCCTCTTAACCTATTTTAAATTTCTTTGCTGCTTTAGTCTGTCAAGCGTAGCCAAGTTGCATAAATTTGACTGCCTTAAAAAAAAAGGAAGTTTTATCACAAACAATTTAACATCAAACCACCGGGTGTCACTATCGCTCTTACATGGGTATTAGTGAAATTCCATTTTCATAGTAAACCAGCAATTTTTAATGATTCATACAATATTGGGAGCTATTCATGTTCTTCAGGCATGTATTGCAGAATAAATATTTTGCTTCCGCTGGCTGTTTCAGGATATTTTCAACTCGATCATTGCAGCACTGTTCCTCCTCGTTGTGTGCCTCTTTGCAATAATAATCAGGACCAACAACGGGACACTGGCTGGAGGAGTAAGTAGGAAAATTAACGAATTTCAGTTCTTACAGGAGACATGAAAATAACTCTGTCATGGAGGAATACATGCAGAAGTCAGAAAAATGAGTATACATTCAATGTATATCACTAAAGCAAAAATCCTCAAATCACTAGTTATTCAAAGATACTACTAGACTTGATTGTAAGATTTTTGTGTACTAGTATCGAAATAGTTTAATAGCTTAAGCAACTGGTATTTTTAATTCATATGAAAATTAATTAACATTAATAAACGACAAGGGGGAAAAAACCTCCGTTTTGAATGTATTTACATCTCTTGAAGTACAAGATATGCTAAAATTTGACAAGCAATAAAAAGAAACAGACCTTACCACATGAGTTTTTCAAAATCAGCTTAAGAGACGATGAGGTGGGAAGCTGATGATTTACTGGCAATGACATCGTAAGCAAAAAGGAAACTTTATCAGAAAGTGACTTAGAATGTCATTTATATTGTCAGTTGTGAAATTAATAGAAATTAAAAGTTGAAAGCAGGAGACTAAGCAGGAAGCTTGGGAGACAGGTTTGGGCAGAACGTATGAGATCTTTGGTGTCGGGAGGAGCAGAATCGCCCCTCGGCCCGGACGCCCAGGGCGTGCACTGCCTTACCTGTGCCTTGGCGTTACTCCCACCGATCAGGTAACTCCATGTTCAAGCATGCTTGCATAAGAAAAACTTGGGCACACGTGGGATGGGCTTTGAGGGCAAGAGCTGAGCCAGTTACCTCGGCAGCCGGTTTGCAAACACGTTTTTTCCGGTTGCCTGCCTCACGTTGTGTACTTTTTAAATACTTCTATGCATTTTCTTCAGTCTGCAGTATGTTTCCCGTTCACAGCTCCAGAGGAGAGAAGCAGTTTTTTTCCTGCTATGCTTGTTTCTACAGATGTTGACTTTTCTCCAGGCCAATACCATTAATTAGGCAGTCCTTGGAGACAGAAGGGGTTTCATTGAGGATAAAAGCATTGTCTGGCATAATGCGGCATTAGCTTAGCTTTCAAGGAGAACACATCACCTCCAAGGCTTCACACAAACATCAAACAAAGTCAGGGTGTAGACTGCTGTATGAAAGGCTGATGGGATTTAAATATTTACGTTATTTAATTTATCAGCTGTCTTGCATCACACGTATATTTAGAAAGCCAGAAGCAAGTTAGGAAGATGTGTTTACTGCTTCTTTGAGGAATGGTAGATGAGTCACTACAGCAAAAGATAGAGATTCTGTAGGGAAACTAACATTATCGTTGTTTTTGTAGGTGTTTGGTCTTGTATTGCTTGTTCTCTGCATTGTCGATGCCGTTGTTCTCTTCCGGAAGATAAGCCTTGATAGACCAAGACAAAGGAATACTCCTGCAAAATAAGATGAATGTTTTAGTAAAAGAATGATTTCTCTATTGGTGACTGTTTTACTGTTCTCTTTAAAACAATTTGTATTTTCACATGGTCACCTTTGGATTTCCAGTGCGTTTATGTACATTTTTGCAAGTATTGTTCTTAAGTTTTCTTACATTTACAAATGCAGTTTTAGCGTTGCTGTTTCAGCAGTGTTAGCTTCACAAAAAATTGCCATTTTTCTAAACTTACATTTTCACCTGTATGAAAATCAATTTCATAGTTGCCTTTTTTCTGTAATAAAAAGAAAATACACATAGGCGTGAGTACTTTATTTAACTTTTATTTATTAAGTGCACTTATGGTAAAATTACTTGATTGAATGTAGTAGTAAACCAGATTTTTTTTCCCACCCTGTGTCCCACGCTCCCTAGGTGAGCCTCCTGCCCGATGCCTGTCTCGCGTCATGGGAACGCCTTCGTGCCGAGGCATTTCGATCCCCGAATTTTCATTTTTACGTTCAGAACAGCGCAGGAGATGCCCCCCCGCCCCCCCAGGGGAGCTGGCCCGGCAGGGCCGCGCTGCCCCCGAGGCGGCCGCTGCCGCGCCGCGCGCGTTGCGGTGAAGGCGGGGGGGGGGTGCGGCTGCGGCCCGGGCCGCGCTGCCCCCGGGGGATCCCCGCCCGCATCGGGGGGGGCCGGGCCAGAGGCCCGCTCCGCGGGGCCGCCTCCCCTTAGATTTGGGGGATGCTGAAACTTTTTTTTTCACGTTTCCGCAGTGTCACGATTTCCGCTTCCCTCCTTCAAAAAAAAAAAAAAAAAAAGAACCCCACAGCCGCACACGCACGCACACGCACACACACCCACCGCCCGAAGCCCGCGGGCGGCCATGGAGGAGCCCGAGCCCGCGGGGGCCGCCCCGCCACCGCCCGCGCTGCGCTCGCTGCTGGCGCCGCGGGAGCTGCTCTGCTCCCGCAAAGGGCAGCTCCTCCTCGCCGAGTCGGTAAGGGCAGGGGCAGCGCCCGGGGCGGGTGGAGGGGGCTCGTAAGGATTTGGGGGGCCGGCCCGCAGCTTCCCCGGCCCGGGCGGAGCCAGCGGCAGAGCCCCCGGGGGCTCCGGGCCCTGACACACATCACCCCCCCAACCCCCCGCCGCAGCGCGTCGGCCACCGCCCCAGCGGCGGTGCGAAGGGGAGGGGGCGCACCCCGTTTCGGAGCTGAACGGGAGCTTTGGCGGTGGCGTTCGGCTGCCTGAGCGCGGCAGGGTGGTAACCGAGGGAGAGCACAAACGAGGGGGAAAAGCCGGGGAACAGCCCCACTGACGTGGGGGGAACTGCGGGGCTGGAGGTGGAGTTGATTGCGGTTTAGGAAACCAAAATGCTTGTCACGTTAAGCTCCCAGTTCCCTCAGTGCGTTCCCCTTTAGCGGGAACCCCTTTCCAGTTAAAAATTGCTTTGATTTCTTTTTAACTTACTTGAAGTGTGAAGCTAGTGACCGCTAGTGACCAGATGTGCATTATCTGCTCCTGCCCTGGGGAAGGCACGGTTTACAAGACAGCTTGTCCTGAGTATGCCAAGAAAGACCTTACACATTAATTTATGATGTATGGCATTTACCTAGGGCATCACAATCTCAATTTTTGTCCTCAGCGCTCCAAAAGCTGGGGTTGTCCTGAACCTGCCAGGGCGATGCACTCACTGCTATGGAGCCAGTTAGCTTACTCTGAAAGTACCAAATAATAATCATTAGAAACAAGCTTAGTCTGGTGATGGAAACACTGCTCCCCCCAAAACAACGTAGTTTTTCCTTTAGGTCCAAGTTCTGAGATGGGGGCTGGTGGTAATTACAGGCCTTTGACTGTTGGGGTAACACTTTCTTGTATTTTACTTGTGAAGGCTTAAAGCCTGATAGATGAAAGAGTAACCCCTGGTAGGAAAAGAGAAACCTTACCTCCATGGGTAGTGGGTATTTCACAGTTAAAAGTTAAATTTTAAGAGGAAGTTAGCTCATTAAAATTAGACCTTCGGTATCTTTTATACTAAAAATAATGAGAAACTTAAACACCAAGTTGTCTGTAATTTTCGCTGGAGTTTTGACAGTGGGTAGTCAGATATCGGGTCAGCCTGAAGTAGTAGTGAAGTACGTGGAGCGCTGTTGAGGTGTGTGAGGTGTCTCTGGCTATCCCCTATGTTAGCTCAGAGAAGGAGACAAGGACATTCGAGAAAGAGAAAGGGAAGGGAGGGACAGAAGGAGGCGGCGCCATCAGGCTCAGGCCACCCTTCCCTACCAGCCCGCTGAGTTGGTGAGGCAGTGGGTGCTGCCCTGTGGCAGATAGCATGGGCAACAGCCAGGGGATGCGAGGCTGGCTTCGAGAAGAAAAAACATTCATTCAGAAGATGAGGATGACTTTGGTGGTGGGGAACACAGGCCTCTGGCTGCATAGCAGCAGGTCACGGGCTGTATCAGCTCCACAAAAAACGCTATAAAAATTCTAGGTACCCTCCATCACTCATACAGCATTTGTAGTTTACAAAACCACACAGTTAGAAGATACCAAAGTCCAACTAACTCTGTTCCTTTGGCAGACGTTTTTGTTACATACTGTAACACATATTGGAATTTCCTACACAAGCTTACAGCCAGTAAATTACAACTTTCAGAGAGCCTGGCTTTTTAACATCTCTGAATGATGACATATTTGAGGAATACTGTTTTGGTCATGGGATCAGACTCACCCTTTTGTTGTCATAGAGAAGTACTGACTATGCATCCTCAGAGTAATAAAAACTGCTCTGTCCTGACAAAACAGGGATTTGTCCTTTGTAAGGCTGCTCAGGGGTTCCTGAGGGTTTGGCTGGCTGAAAGCAGCTCTATAATCCCATCTGCCGAAGCTGCAGCAGGGCTTTCTGTGTGCTCCTTGCAGGCCAGCCCACGGGCTTGGGATGTCGTTTCCTGGCAGAGGGGAGGCAGCAGTAGTTTCTCTCCAGCTGTCTTGGCTTTGCCAGGAGAAATCCTTGAAGACAACACAGGCCCCAGAATAAATCCAGTTTGTATACAATTAGAGAAATGCAGTGCCAAATAACTGAAGATGACTCCAAGTAAAATCTATCGTATTTAAATCCGTGTTTCTTCTTTAGCTTTGTATTTCTTGTCTGAATGTTTGATTTTTCCTCTTTCATACAGTACTAATTTGGGCTGAGGTTTGGTTCTGCATACGTGTATGTAAATAATATAGGATACAGATTTTGAATAGTCTGTTGTTCAGAAACAAAATGGCGTTCTCATTATTGTTACCGAATATCTCAGTCACATCATTATTTGGCAGCTTGGCAAGTCATGAGAAATGCACTTTATTTCTCTGTCTTTAAAATCATGCAAATACTGGCATCTCTGCAGGTAGAGCAAAGGTTCTCTGTTCAGCTACAGGAAATGCCAAGTCAGTTTTTTCAACATTAAAAAAGCAAACCACCGTACACTGAAAAACAGATTACCACCGAAACAAAGCAGCAACTTGCAAACGTATCTTGACCGGGGTAGATGGTTATACTTCTCTTTTTCGGTCTGTGGCAGAAAGGGAACAGAAGTTGGCTTCATCAAATTCCCTCAGGCCAGTGACCGTGCTGGTTTGTGTACTCAGTGGAAGTAACCTCATTAAAAAGTCTTGTTTTGCCCAGTAGACGTGTCTGGCAAATGACCGGTTCAGCTGTTAGAAGTTATAGCGGACCAACTCAGACTTTGTAAATTAAGACAACTGCTGCACTCGTGCCAGCCTGTCCCTGTCCCTTGTGCTGCTGGAGGCGGTGGGCACAGCCCGGGGCATCCCACGGAGGGTCAGTGGGAGCTCAGCGCTGCTGGCAAGCATTGCTGTGTTCAGACTGAGGGAAACTGTGATGGCTACTTTTTAAAAATAACATTTACAGACATTTTCACATGAAGTGGATATGGATCTTTACAATGTCCGGGTGTGATTTTCATGTCGGCATGTAAACTGCTCTGTGGGCTATCAGGTCTGGGCATTCTCGTGCCTCCTCTACAACAAGTTAGGCCGGCGATGAAGCTGATTACTGCTAGAAGTTTAATTATATTCTCAAATTTTATTCAGAGAAAAAAGCCCTCCTCACCCCTCTGCTCCTTTTCCTTTTGATCTTCCTGCCTTATTAATTTTTTATTCCACCTGGGATAGCTACACAGCCACAAAGAAGCAGTAACATCAACTACATGTCTAAGCTTTGCTGTCTCTCCTAGTCCTATTTATTCTCACTGTCTTGCTCCTCCACTTTCTAATTACCATTTTTTATCTCCCAGATTAATTATTCTCTCTTCTTCCTTTCTGTTCTTTCCCCATACCATTATTTCTTCCATATATTTTAACACTACTCTTCTCTTAAGTTACTAATGTTTCCTAACTAGTCAACTTGCTGTCTTGAAGATCAGCATCTCATCCATGCTCCTTTCCCCCCTTAAGAGATGCATTTTTTCAGTTCCCTCTGTCCTGTGTTGGAACCATTTAACAGCCACTCTCATACCTGCCACCAGAGCTTCTCCAGATCCACATTTCTGCATTCTGCTGCTCACCCCAGCTATTTCAGTCAAGCTTTTTTGTTTGTCCTGGTAATCACTTTAATTGGTATCTCCTTTGTCCCCTGAAGCCAGTATGCAATGGCATTACGTATTTTTTTAATAAAAATGTAGTGTGAATGTGTAAGTTTGCCCTGTATAAGGTTGTGGCAACACAAAAGATGTAGAAATCATTGTGCCTGCTTTTCTCCTCTTTTCCTGTCTTTTGTCTTTTCAGTCTTCTCTCAACTGACCTTCGTAACTGAACTTTCCAGCTGCTCTGTGTAAAGCTTCCTTCAAAGAAGACCCTTCTGCCTTTCTCTGGGTCCGTAGCCAGAAGGTGACTCTTGCAGCAGACGCTAGGGAACCAAGAACCTCAGCTCCATGACAAGTATGATGGAGAAGTAACTGAATAGCAGAGACCACTAGGTGATCTACTTTCTCTCTCTGCCAATAAACAATAACAAAACGCACTCTTGTCCAAAGGAGATCACCACGAGCCACTTTTAAAACTGTTTAAGCAAACCTGTTGTTTTCTGTGGAGGGGAAATGAGGAGCAGGCATTTGACGGCGCGGAGCCGCGGGCGGCGGGGTGTGCGCAGTGGCACGCGGTGATGTCAGCTGCTTCCCAGCATCCGCATCGTCCCCGAGGGGCTGCCGTGGGTCTGTTCTCTCTGCACGGAGGAGACAAACGCCTTTGTCCTCTGCCATGACCTCCGCACTTCAGCAGTCCTCCTTCCCTTCAGGGCCACAGTGCTCTCTAACCATTACAACTAATTATTTTTTATACCTTAAATGGCAAGCTGGTTATATGATAAAGTATAACTTCATAATACCTGGCCAGTTGAAGAAGTCCAGCAACACAATATTAAGTAATAATTACATGGGAGAAAATGACTTCTTGAAACACAATACCAAAGAAGTTCCTTTAGAAAAGAAAAAGTAATACGTAACAGTTCTTTTATGTACATTCCCATTCCCACAAAAAAGAAAAGGTGCTCAATGAAGAATCAGGCTTCTTTTTTGCTAAGATTTTTTATGATCTTACCACTGCCAGACTAGGAAAGGATCCTGTTCTGTTCCTCACTGCACTAAGCTTTCTGCATCCAGATATTCCTCCACAGTGAATATGGCAACAATCATGCTAACCTTTCAACAGCAGTGCAGGAACAAGTCGGACTCCTAGCTACTATGCCAAGGATGTAATCCCAAGGGAAAAAGAAACCCGCTGTGTAAATACAAATGGACAAAACTGATAAAACACTACATTTTTTTCCTCCCAGAAGCAGCAGTGCTTTCTGAGTCTGAAAGTGCTAGAAATGAACTTGCAAAAGCATTGAGCCTCACAAACTTTCTCTCTATAGTCCTGGGTTTTGTTTTTGGTTGTTGGTTTTTTTTTTTGGTGTTTTGTTTTTGTTTGTTAGTTTGTTTTAGCATACACACAGAGCTGTTAGAAAAGTGACAGGATTCCATTGCTTGACCTTTCTCTAAAATCACTTTTAAACATGCAGTTTCAGGAAAAAGGGTCCAGAAGAAGTGTGATGTGCAGTGGATCATTTGACAGTCTTTAGAGGGGTCAGGCTATATTCTGAAAGTTTGTCATTTTCAGAGCAACTTTCAGTTTTCCAGATGTTTGTCTCAAAGACTTACAGTCTAGAAAAGTAAGTAAGTAGATGTTCATTATTTCTGGGTACAGACTGGTACATCAGTGTTTGTATTGTGGAAGGAGAGGTGGATTTTTTAAATTACCAACTTTTTAGATGACATCAAATGCTTCAGTTAGTGGCACTGCAATTAAATGGTCACACAAGATAACAAGATACCTACTTTTGTAATTCAGAAAAGACAGTAAATGTTAATATCCAATATTGTTCAAGGAGTCCATGCACTCCACCTGTCAGAAGGGGAAATAAGCTCAAAAGAAAGAGAAATGAGAAACGTCGTCAAAAGCCGACAGCTTTGTGGACTCTTGTATCACACAGGGCTGTTCCCCAAGTTACTGAATACATCTGGCTGTTCACCCCTGCATACTTGTCTGTCTCTGCATCTCAGCTATCACCCACTTTCCTTTAGCCAGAAAAAGTAAGAACAAAAAAAATGTCCTAGCTACATGGTGATTTCTTTTTAGACCAAGTAAACATGAAACCATGTCTCAGTTATGTTCCACAAATGCAACTGAAGCAGATACACAAAGTTAAAGTCCAGTCCTTTCTGATTTTATTCTGTAGGGTTGGGAAGGGAATCGGCAGTGTGATAGGAAAGAAGATGAAGTCCTCTCTGCTCTTAGTTTTCAAGTTCTGCTATATCAACTTCTCTTCAAACAGTTCTTACCACTTTTCAGTCACAGAAATAAAATACCACATTAAGGATAAGATACAGTGCATGAGTTCTCTCCGTTACATGAAAACTCTAGAAAAACCTGCAAAGAGGCTATGTAAGCAATAAGGAAAGAATAATAGAATAACAACAGAGTAAATATTAAAGGATAATAGACCTCAATGCAGAATTGAACTCTATGTGTTATGCCAGATCAGTTTCTTACAACCCAGTGAAACCAGAACAATGCATAGGCATTTTAAGATAAATATAGTATCTTACTAAAAATGTCACATCCTCTCAAACTTCACCACCCAGTTCTAATGGATCAAAACAATATACTCCAGCTGTTATCATCTTAGTCAAGAACTCACTGCTTTCCCCCAAAACCAGGCTGAGAATAAAGGCTTGATAGTTAATTAAATTAAGAAATTATTTCAACAGGATTGAACTGCTTAGTTGCTCACTAAACCTAAATGGCTGCTTTTGATACATGTATTTGAGGGTTCACTGAACTCTCATAGCAGTAATTATTATTTAATTATAGGAGTCTTATCCTTCAAGTATAATAATGATTTTTTTTTTGAGGTACAGGTGGTTCCCAGGAACACATGGTAGCAGCAAGCAAAGAAATCCATTCAACTGAAATTCAATGAGGCAAATGCATTTATTGTCAGAGTCTAAACATTTATGCTTTTCAAGAAGCCACATCTGCCTTCAGACATTCCATCTGGGGGAAAGTACTACATCTTATTTTCAGTATTGTATGAGTAGAGAATGTCAGTGTCCCAATTCAGAATTTAGAAGTTGAAAAAATGCTTGTAATCTCATGCTCAAACAGTACCTACTGCTATGTTGACCAAAAGCATCTCTGAGCATTGCTACGGCAGATTTGTCTCCAAGATGAAAGGCTGAATAGAGCAGCTCAGGTGTAAACTAGCACATAATACTCACTCTTGCAGAAAATGTTTTATTCAGTATGCTAGCTACTTTTTTTATTTTAAGCCACTTGGAAGAAAACAGCAACCAGTTACCATGTGAGGTAATAGAGCAGTAGGGCCAGAATCTCTTCTTGAAGGTGACCAACTCCCAGTACAGCATTTGAAAGTTTTATTAAATTTCTCCATGGTTCCCTCACCTCCCACTTCCACCAATACAGCAGATGAGAGTCCAGAAGTGTAGCATAGCACTTTGGTAGTGTCTGGTTTAGGTGAAAATCCACTCATTTTCTTTAGCCATTTTCCCCATAGTGAAACTTTGTATTTTGAGCCATAAACTATGTTCTAAAGGTATTTTAATTGATTGGGAAAATAAATGCCATTTTTATTATTTTTTGGAGTTAGGAAACATCATGGAGATAAAACAAATCTATGGGAATTATCTACCCTATTACTCTTTAAAACACCTGTCTACACTGAAAAACTAGAACCAGAGACTTCCAAAAATCACAGAATAATTAATTTTCTGCTCTTTTCTATCCATCAACAGCAGACTTTTTTCTTTCAACTCTAAGAAGATTATAAATGCTGAGTTACTTTGGGCTATCTGAGCAGTAATTTGGGTTTCAAATGAGAACTGTCATGGTTGAAAGCTTAAAGCTCTGTTTGCTTGGCAATGCCTCAGTATTTTCAGAATTATGTTGTCAGAACTGTTTACAATCCAGAGTAAATTACTCACTTGGAGAGGTGCAAATCCACCAAGCTCTCTGGAAAGTTGATTTCACACGCATTGAAATAAATGCCATTACTTTAGATTTATTTCATGCTAAACAAGAAAATTCATTTGGCCCAAGAAAAAAAAAACAGGAAGCAAGATATGCCCTCTCCAGCAGCACTGACAGAAATACACAGGGAGAGTAATGCTTCAAAGCTGCTCAGCTGCCTTGCAGCTCTGCCATTTCATGCAAATAACTAGTTTTTCCTTTACTGTAGGTGCTGTCATTTATCATCTTTATCTGCTATATTGCATCTCTCGCTGCCTCTTTCATGATGGCAGCACTCCTAGAGTTTCTGCTGGCACTGTTTCTTTTTTTTGCCTACGCCTCCAAGCTTAATGAGAAGTTTAAAGGACTCTACTGGCCTTTGACGGTAAGTGAAACGTGCAATCTAAAACCACAGATTTAATTGTACAGTATAACATGAGTAAGAGAGACTATACAGGAGTTTAGGCTGACTGTTAAAAAATTCACCCCATTATTAGAAATCTGTCCATATTGCCTCTCATTCAGAAGGTCCCAAAGCACTCTTTAAACTATGCCATACTACATACTAAACTATGCTGTACTATATACTGTAGCTTTCTTGGTGCTGACACAAAGTATGATTTTATTAAAGCACATAATTTATGCCCAATTCCAGGCAAATGGCTTACAGCTGGATCTTCAGAGGCAGGCAACATCAGCCTAAGTAAGTCTGACCACTGCTGGGTGCTCCTTAATATTGCCACCCTTATAAATGGGGAAACAGACATGCTATATACTTTACTAAAATATTTTTAAATTCTCAGGCCAGTGCTGTTGAGATGCAGTGTCATACTCACATGCAAACAAAGTGACATTGCTTCTGTTAAGGGGGGGAAGCCCTGCAGCTCTTGCCAGCAGATCTTTAGTCACACAGGGGAAACCACTGGCGAGTGAGCCCTGGGCACTTCTCAGGTTGTACTTGCCGGCGATTACTGCACCCTGGCCACTGGGTGTCTCTGTTGCTTCAAATATACATTATCAAGGGAGCATTTGTCTAGCACAAAAACTTCCAAAAAAAAAAAAAATGCTAATCTAATCGATCTGGATTCTCTTTTGGTACAGTCCAGCAACAGTTTGTCACAGTGAGACTTGAATTAGAGCTCTCAATAGTAGAAAAATAGCATTAGCAAGGCCACTAGTGGATCAAACAGTAGTAGTAGTGACTTCGACTATGACAGTGTGTGTGGTTTTCAGCTGGTAATCTCAGTTCCACTGTTTTCCCGCTATTCAGAGTTAAAACAAAAAAAGCTCTTGTGTGTTTATTATGTCCATTACCATAATATACTCCAGCCACAGAACGCAGATAACTGACCTGGTCCTGACTTCAGAAGAGTCACGTTTCTTGTAGGATTTGTGTTTTGAGACATTATTTTACTTATCCATATGTTCTGAAAAGGCAGAAGATCTAATTGTGAACAGAGGTCAAGATACCATTATGCCATCTCACATGATTTACACATGCCCTGGGAATCACAGCTCTCTATTTAATACACAGTTCAGAGACACCGCTGGCTCCAGCGCCTCACTGCCTGTATCGTAGGACACGGCCCCTGCCCTGCTGAGCTACAGGCTCGGCCACAGCAGCACATATTTTGATGATAGCAACAGGTATGTTCACTTCAGGCTAGCCATTGGAGTTACATGTGTACATATTAAATATATATCATAGTTTTAAATGCTAAACAAAGTATATAGTTCCTCAATGAGGAGTTCCTACAGACAGGCCTACTTCTGTATAGAAACAAGAACATGCCTGTTCCCCGCAGGAACTGGCTCCTCCAGAGCCTTTGCTACCACAGGAATTCTGCTTGAAGATGAGAATTTTGAAGGTGTTTCAATTGATTCTTCTATTAGACCCCTTGCTGCATTCCAAGTTAAACATCACAGAAAGACAGACCTCAACCTGAAGAAAGGTCTGCCTGACATAAGCATGTTACAAGTAGGACATATACAAACACCTGTAAGAGCAGAATCTTATGCCAGGATTCTGGTCATCTCTCATTTAAAAATATTTCCCAGATGAGCAATTAATTCGCTACAAAATACCAGACTGTAGTCACACTCCAGCATCAGGCAAGTCCACCGATGCAATAACAGAAGTTTCTAATGCTCCTTTCTGAAATAATTTTTAGAGGAGTTTGTATGTTGAAATTACATGACTAATCTGAGAATGCAACATTGCATATTTTACAGGATTTCTTGCGGTGTGTCACTGCTGCCATTATTTACTTTGCCATTTCAATTGCTGCTGTCTCAAAATACAACGATGGAGCATCTAAAGCAGCAGGAGTAAGTAGACATGAGCTTTCTACTTAAGTATTTTGATGAACTGCATATGGACATACTTTAGAAACAATTCAATTTTGACCCCACTGCAAGTAGCTGAAGTTTCTTCAGTTAACTGAGAATTAGATTTGCCTAAAGAAAGGAAGGTCAGTTATTTTGAAAACGATGTTTTGATTCAATTAATAGGTTTTTTTCATACTAACAGTGCTGCTCAATGTTAACTGCACTATGTTAACTGGCACCTATTCCGCTTTTTAATTTCACCAGCTGTATGGGGAAGATAAACTTTCTGTTCCTGCAAGATTTTCCTGTAAGATCCTTGAATGGAAGAATAATAACAAAAAAAAAAAAAAAAAAAAATATCAAACCTGTAACTACTAAGGACAATCTAAATTAAGTAAATGCAACCTCCTGCCTCTATTTTTAATTTTACTTGGATGGGTTGAAACAAGAGCAGTGTCATTTTACCCTCCAGTATATGGACTGCCCAGGAGAGAGCCTTCGCCATCAGCATTTTGTGTTCAGAAATGAGATACAACCTCACCATCTGCAACTTGACTCTGAGCATCAATAATGCATGCAATATAAATAAAATTTGCATAATAATTTCAAAAGATAGGGAGGAAGAATACCCAGTCGTGTTAGCAAGCCACTCTTACCAAAACATCCCAAGTCATCCACAATTTCAAAACAAAGACCTTGTTTTAATCTTTGCCATTCCATTTAGATATGGAGCAATGCAACATAACATTTCCCTAGCTTCTCAGACTGAAAACCAGCCTATTCTTGCCACACTGCTGCTTCTTTGACACTAAATAGGTAACTCCGGAAACATTTTATCCCAATCTAATTCACTCTGCTATAGACATGTTTCATTGCAAAACAGTAAAAAATCATTTCCAGAGAAATCAAGATGATTTCTTGGTGGCAGAGATGCCCTGGGAGGGTGGAGGTGCAGGTTATGTTCTCCTGTAGCCTCTGGCACAGGGCAATGCTGATGCTCAGAACTTGCCCAGAGCCAGAGAGTGATGTAGCCTGAGGAAGGACTGTGGACACATTTGATAGAGGAACGGCAGGGATCACTACTCAGACTCCTGAATTAGCTGTAATTTAGTTGATGCCAATGGGTCATGAGACATTTCTCTTCCCTGTCTTTTTAGAAAGGTACAGGCCAAAAAAATCAAGCCCAAGTTTTCCTTAAGTATTTTTCTTCTGTCAGTTAGGCTTATTTTGGTTTGTCATTGATGGACAAGACCTGTTGTTAAAAAGCATTATTTTGCCATTTTAGGTGTTTGGATTTATAGCCACAATAGTGTACGCCATTGATTTCTACATAACCTTCAATGACCTGGTTACTTTTCTCAAGCAAGGCAGTTCTGATTCCCCTGAAGGGCGCAAGTCAGAAGGTAGGTAAAATTCCCCATTTTGGTTATGTAAGCATGTAACATGAGATATTCTTCTCCATTTCACCCTTCACAGGGGAGCAAAAGCATTCACTCAGTAAGAACAGTTTGTATTCTTGGCTACCTGGGTTTTGTATGCCACAACTATGCTGAGCTATGAAGCTGCTTAGTCTTAAAATACAACAACTGGAATTGCAGTGATTTATGAAAGATAACTCGCAAGACAGGAATGTGAAGTTTCTCAGTTTTGCACCACCTAACTTTGAAAGGCCTCAAATCCCATTACAGAAATCATTGTGCAGCACAGACTTTTCTGCTCTCACTGACATGTCTTTCTTCAAAAACAGACATTTACCTTTTTTTTGATAACTTGATAATTAACATCCATTAGTCTTTTATGTCCAGTAGTGCTTTTCTCTTCTTTATCTCTTTATCATGATTACCTCTTATTTGGGGTCGAGCTTTGACAATCTTCGGGCAAATGGCCTTGAAATCCAAGGGCCACATAGCATAAAATTAACATGATTGTTGTAAAATTTCTTTCTAATAGAGGAGGTACAGTCTACCTCACATCAGACAGATCCACTTAGACAAAGATAAAAAGAGGGACCCGCTGTTGGGAGTTCAAACCCATTTCAAGTCAGGACACATGTTATCTGTTTTGCAGTGCCTGGAAGCCCAAATCAGGCATCATGCCCCTTTGATACTATTCGTTGCACCCACATAGATGAAAAAGACTGCTCTACCTTTAAAAACACACAAAAAAAAAATCCCAAACCTCCCCCAAAACACCCCACACAAAACCAAAACCCCTCAAAAACAAACACCCAAGATGTGTACGGAATCCTAGAAGGTATATAGTAACTCTAACAGACTTTTCTAGGTATTTTAGTAGACTGTTAAATGTTTTGCGAGCTTCAGGCCAAAAAAAGAGACAAAAGAAGAATTAAAGGAACAGATCATAGGAAGCAGACTGTTAAGACTAAAAACTGTATATTCCCACAAGCTGAACTGACCTCAGATGATGATGAGGTGACAAGGGTACAAAGTTAGGCTAAAGGTTAAACCTGATTTCAGTAGAGACTGAGAGATATAGACTTACAAATATGCAGTCATGCAGCTTTGTGTTGATGATTTGACCGTGCAAGAAGGGCTTTGCCCTGCAGCACTACTCCTCCAGCACCAAACCCATGTTTACACTGGGGCTCTCAACGGCTGAGGCCAGAAATCCCTTGCTTCCTTGCAAGCAGAGTCACAAGTTTGGGCAAGATGTACCTCTATAGGCATATCAGGATTTCTTAACATCATAAAGCTTCTGTCGTTCCGATACGTTTAACTGGCAGTGCGTAACCGTGACCCACAGCAAAGAGCAATATTCTAGTACAGGAAGCATGTTTTCAGTAGACTTCCTCTTGGTGGTCATGCTAACAATATCATCTCTGCAACTTCTTTCATATGAAGTGTTATCTATGTTGTAGTGCCTCTCAGCAGCATTTTTCAAGTCCTTTGAAACATGATTTAAAGCTCCATCATGTTAATAAAAATTCATTATACAGGCCTTCTCCTAAATATGCCATGCCCATTGACGCAGACACCCATCGAAGAGCAGCAGCTCCCAGCAAGTGCTAAAGCTGACATGGAGATTTCCAGTTTTCATTTTCACTACTGTTCCTTGTTTTAAATTTCAGATGAGGACTCCGATTCCGACTCAGACTGAAGAACTGAACACCAACCAAATGTGAAGGGAAGATGATTAAGCACTTTCCTCTTTGCTTAATGCACTGCCAATTGAAATATCTTCCTTATTTCAGCCTTGGCATCCTCCTTCCATCTCCTTGTTTATAGAATCACCAAAGTAAAGACAGGGAGGTGATGTGGAAAAGGAGACTATTCCCAGTGCCATTAGACACTCCTTCAGAACTCTGTATTTTACAGTAGTTCAACCTTCCAGAGCTCTGTATTTTACAGTAGTTCAACCTTCCAGAGCTCTGTATCCAAACACACATCAATTCTCTGTTGCCTCTCTCTACTCAGCACAACAATGTACTGAGTAAACAGGAACACAGTATTTTAAACATGTAAGCAAAGCTTTTCATATGCTTTCTTAATTCCAAATCTTTAACACTTATAGCTTTTATACTTCTTGCTGTGCCAAAGAAGAGAGGCTCAGAAAGCCTCTACTTTATTTGTATTTTTCTTGATTAACTAACAGTATTTCTTTATCTGAAGTCTGAATATTCCACTAATCTCAAGCACTGAAGGCATAGGTTATAGTTAACACGTTGGTTTCAATACATTTATATCTACCACCTATCTCCAACAAGAAAAAGTGACAACTGGAAATCTGCAGCAAGAAAAATCTCAAAATATAATTGTGCTGCAGGGTAGCTGGCTCATCAGATATTCAATATGATTTTCTCAAGCTGCTTGGATGGGATCACATCCCATCTTCTGCAATTTCACCAGTCAGGAGGTAGAACAGATCAGGCATCGTCTTACCAGTGCCCTTCCTACCACTGGCATGGAAGCCCTTGTACGTGTTTGCACATACAGGTAAGGAAGGCTTGCCAGATGCCATCCAACAGGATCTGCCTATCAAAGCCAGCAAATATTTGTGCACAAGATACCACTGTCTGATCTCATGCTCTGTGTTGCAAACACTGGTCCTCCCATGAGAAATAGCACTGGACTCAGCTGCTGGGTTTGCAAAAGAGACAACTGCTTCTGTAAAACTCAGGATACCTAGGCCCAGGAGGGCAATACATCCTTCCCACTGTGAAAAGGCCAAAAAAAACCATCTCTGAACTAAAGAATGTCTGCAAGGAAATTAATTTTCCCAGACCCTTTTTTTTTTTTTTTTTTGGGTGTGGGCGGATGGTTTTTTGTTTAGTTTGTTGTTTGTTTTTTTTTTTTTTTTTTTTCTCCCCTGGAAAGACCTGATTTATCTCATCATCTAGTATTCTGGGGGAAAAACATGAATTTACAAAAGGCGTTTCCATGGGTAGCACAACCTACCTTGAAATGTTTCTGTCTACCTATAAATGCACACTGCTTGAAAAAAGCATTGCATGCTCCTTATACATGGCATCAAATGGGTCTATTTCAAAGAAACCTGTATACATTTTTTAAAAATATAGTACCAGAACAGGTGGCTTTAACAAGAAGTAATTAAAATGTGAGCAGATGGTACGAACAGAGTAAATGAAAAACAGCGATAAACCAATAAAGGCAGATTTCCTTTGAAACAAAATTACCCCTTGGGTTCCACTTCCCTGCTAGCAGCTGGCTGCTGAGGGGCAGGAGGACGGATCCTAACAGCGAGCAGGTGCTTGGGAAGGTGCTGGCCAGGTTCAGAGTTGTCTAAGCGGCAGCTCCCACATCTCCTGTTTCCCGACCACTGAGGGAATAAAAGCAAAACAAATGGTTGCTTCTAATGTGACATACCATCTTTGCTTTTATGAGAAAGACCTCTTTGGATCTTTTCCTGTATGAAATTCCATGTTTCTTTTCTGTTGTCATATTTTATTGGCACACACTGGGATGTCAGGGGACCTGGGCTCATTTTTATATTCAATTGTTTTGTATTTCTCTTTTTTTAATTAAAAAATATACTGCATGTCACATCTGGAAACTAGTACATGGTTATTATTTAGAAGCCATGCTGGATTAAAACTCTTTTAATAGAAGTGTTGGATGTCTGTAGTTATTTTAAAACCTGGTTTTACTGCCTTGACCAGCGAGAGGAACAGTGTTTCAAGAAACTCCATCAGGGAGGATTGCGGGTGCTGGGGAGGTGGACAATAATGCAGAGCCAGCACTGGAGACAGTCACTCATGCTTACAAGGAGAGACTTCATCTTTAGTGCGTAAGTGTGAAAGAATTTAACCAAGAATTAGTTTTAGCATATTTAGTAGACACTGATGATACAGTGCTTTTACTTGGCAACTAATAACCTTCTAAACAACAATCCCCTTTGGGTTTACCCTTCGCAGACATGTTATAACCTAAGAACTGCTAGGGTTTTCTAGTAATTTTTTCACATACTCCTGAAATCAACAGAAGAGGCAAAGAAAATTGCTCCTTACTTCAGAACTACTTTCGCAGCCATGCAGTGAATGGCCTGTCCAGAGAATTTATGTATTAGCATTCAAATATTTGATGATTTATTTCTAAGCAGTTTGTTCCCGGGGTCAAGCACTTGTGCAAGATTCCAGCCTTTTATTTTAAAATATATGTTCCCATGATTGAAATAAAAGACATGTCTGTATTTTATGAATATAATTTTGGAAAAGAGAAATCAATTAAAAATTACTTTAAAGCCAATTCTGATTTGAGGGGGGGCTGACTCAGCCTTTTGTTCATCTGCTGCCAGCAATACTGCATTAAGCTCAGAGTCTGGTACAGGGCGGAGGAAGAGTCCGCTTGGATTTTTTTGGCTTTTATGTTTGTTTGCTTGCTTGTTTTGCCTCAACTGACAAGATCAAAGTTAGCAGGAGCACTTGCAAAACTTGAAGCGTTTCTCTGCAAGTCAGGACTAGTGACACAAGCATAATGTTACACCTGCAGCATGGAAGCATTACTGAAGTTCTTATTTTGGTGTACAGAAGAGGTCATAATCAAACATCTTTTTTCAATCGCAATGCATTCTTGTTCCAAACAGGAGCCATTTCCAAAACCCGTACAGGCTAGTATGTGCCTTCGTTACAACTAGAGTGCAACTATTGCCATTTTGAGTTCCTGTGCTTGTTGAACAGCACTCAGCAGTAGACAAACCTCAAGAGTGATGAGAGTTTCCAACACCAAGCTTGGAAAAAATCTATGTCAAAACAATGCAAGCAGTCTTATGTTGTAAACACTGTGAATCAAAGCCACTAACAGGAAGGAAAAACAATCAGCTGGCATCACAGATTAATGACCTGGTACAGCTCTCACATCGAAGGTGTCTCTCCCTCCTTTTCTCCTACCTTCTCTCAGAAAGCTGTTATCTGTGGAAGATCTGTCACAAGACTGTGTGGTGATTTTGGACAAGTGATGTTAAGGAAACCAAAAGGCCTTTCCAAGGAGCATTTTTAGATTCTAAGCAGCTCATTTGTCCTTTTAACACTGCCCATTGCTCCACTTAATTTTGCTTTTCACTTGATACTGCTCAAAATTCTGTAAGCCTTACACTTCCAACTGACAAAGTAATCTCCAAGATCGTTAAGTGAAAAGTGGTGTATCTCAGCCTACGTGGTATTTGAGAAGAATGCTTCCACCAGCCTGGTGTGTTGGAAAGCAGAGGAAAACTTAATGCTCTGCATAGCAAGCAGATGTTTTTCATTCATTATGCTTCTGGGAAGTGCTCATTGTGCAGACTTCTAAACCCAAGTTTTATAGCTGCATCTTCCCCTGCTAGGAGACCAGCAGCCTGGATCATTAAGTGAGCATGTACTTGTAACCACTGACAGTGCATGTTACCAGCCTCAGAGATTAAAAATAATAAAATTAAGTGGCTTCATTCCAAAATTCAGGATACAAATGGCCCCCAAAGAGCAAATGCAAGATACTTATCAACATGCATATGTAAAAAATACAAGAAGCAGCTCCACCTGGCCATCCTTCAATCTTTTCTTGAGAATGGAGAGAAAATACATCAAGGAAGCAGAATAAATTTAGATAAGCACTGAGAATATGAATCTTGTTACAAGATGCTTGAGACACCTTTTAGCACTGAGTATTGGTTTAAAAGTCAGGATGGAGACACCATCTCTTGTTTTTCTTCTAAATAAACAGGACTGCATCAAAAAATCCACACTGCAACACATATTTCTCCTTTACTGGAAGAATTAACAGTGCTCTGAATGTTTTGTAAAATTTCTAGGTCAGAAGGTAAAACAGTGCTACCAAGAAAATTTAAGTGTATTAAAAAAAAAAAGTAACATTTCAGTTTATTTCCTTGAAAAAGAGAACAGCAATGCCAATGTTAATTTCCTGCTTTTATTTTATATATTTTGGATGCTGTCCATCACATTTGGTTAGCCTGATCCATTAAATAAGAAATCAATTATAGTCTTCCCAGGAGACTGAAGGAAGATTCAGTATTTAGAAGTTAGACAGAATAACCTTTTTTTTTCCTTTTTTCTTTTTAAAAAATTCAACAGCTGATAAAGCTTCTCTTGACCAAGAAACACCATGGATAACATCAGCAGCAATATGGTACTAAAGTCCAGCACTTTTACTCTTTTTCTTAAACAGTATCAAGGCCTGATGTCTAAGCAGTTCCAATGGATGCAACACCATGACAGATGAGAATCTATCGCTGCCGACAGCCCCACACAGGCAAAATGAACTGGCCCATCTCCTAGCAGAAAAGCTGTACAAGCACATGGTGCTCCTTAGCAAATCCTTCTGTAAAAGCTCAATCATACCACCACCTTTGTCCACCTCCCCACACACGTTATCCCTAAGCAGTGTTTTAAGAGCATCATCCACATTCCCAAATCTTTCCACAACATTCATTCAAGCATCCGTGGTTTTCTGCAGTTCTTGCCCTTAACTCAGTGCTTTTAACTTGCACCTAAAGCACTTGGATACTAAAAATCTCAACTGCATCAAAGTAGGATTTGCAACCTACAGCCCACGAGGTGGCATTATTACCCACCCACTCTGGCATTTCTGCCCAGAAATTCCTCTTCAGTCCAAAACACGATGCTGCAAACCACAAAATAGAGCATTTCAGCCTATTACAGAGTACCAAACGGAGAAACCACCACAAGAGCAATCCCACCACAGCCACTTCAGCAGTAAAGCAGTTCCATGTGCTTTCTGCCACATACAAACTCTCGTCAAGGATATACGTGGTTTTTCATTAATTCCCGCATCTATGAAGTTTGTCTTGTCAGAGACATAGTCACAAAAAAACCCTCAGGCTGGGTTGGTTGGCTTGATGTTTAACCCCTATGCCATTGTCTTGCATGTGAAGTGCATTCAGCAACTGCACTTACTGGGTTATGAATTAATCAATCACAACACTGGGTATACTGAGTTTATATGTTGCCTTTACAAATGAAGACAATGTTTTAGTACTTTAATATGTCCATTTATTAAACAGGAAGTCCTTCACAAATGATTTTATACTATATTATCAAGATAAGTATTAGAAAACTACCATTTTCCTTACATACAAAAATACAGACTTTTACCACTATGAAGACATGATCAGAAGAGTACCATGAAAATCCATAGAGCTCAAATCTTCAATTATCAGAAAGAAAAAAGACAGAAAGACATCTAAATAAAAAAAATTTACAAAAAGTATTGTGCCCATATACAAAAGACTGGAAAGCAAAATGACATTTAAAACTGATAAATACACCATTTAAATTATGCTATAACAGTATGGATTTTAAAAACAAGACTGCTTTCTGTATTGCAAGACATTACAATTCTTCAGCTTGTATTTTTTGTTTAGCATAAACACCAACAGAAAAGAAGCACACAACATACTGAAAAATCATTACTGGTGAAAAAACAAGTTGGGGTTACTTTTTCTTGTAGAGTTACCTTGCCTTTGAAATTGGACAAGCATTAACAGCACAACTTTCACATACAGAGCTGGAAGATGCTACACTTACACACATAAGTTAGAGCTGTTGATACTGAGAAGACAGTGATCACAGCCAGTAGGTACCGCTACAGAAAGCATCTATTTTATCAGCTGGCCTTGTGTGCAGTTTAAGAACTTCAAGATCACTTAACAAAATAATGTCAAATTGCTTCAAGGCTGTAAATTGTCTCTATATGAACATTTGCTAACCTGTGATATTCTTCAAATCCTTGACCAGGATTTGGTGATAAATGGGTACCTGATCTGCAGTCCCCTAAGCCAATGGGGAATTTTGCCTGAGTAAGGACAACAGTCAGGTTCTGCATTTGCACATGAGAGTATGCTTGTAAAATTTTCCTTGGCAAAACATTACAATTTTTCTTACTTCAGAAGCAAAATACCAAGGGTATTACACAGCAGACTTGTGCTGATATGATAAAAGAAAAATTGAATCCCCTTTGCTCAGCCATAGATGAAATTCTAACCCTATATTTCAATTAATACTTCTGAGCTGTTAGCAATTACAAATCTGTCACTATACGACCTATATCGCCAAGGGATAAAGTGTTTCCGTCAGGCCTGGATGCCTCCGCCTTGGACACCATAAATCACGAATTATGAGCTAGAATCAGAATGTTTAGATTACGCCTGCTGTTTTTCTAGAGGACCCAGAATCAACACCGAGGATACGGACACCCCAACACTGAGCATCTCTTTACACAAGTCTCAAGGAAAGAAGTTTGGAGTACCTTCTAGGTCATGTCAGCAATGTGCTTTACCTCCAGCTTTTACGTAGCAGCTGAAGGCAAAGCAGAGCAAAAGCGATACAATCTTTTCATTTGCCATGAGATCAGATTTACTATTTAGTGCACAAAGGGAAGTCAACAAGTACAGTAGCCCTAAAACTGGTATTAGTGAAAACGAAGCACAATGAAGCCAGAGATGCATTAATGACTCACATTACAAAAATAGTGTTTACTGGTTTAATAAATGTACATCTCTATTTTTGTGAATGACAAGTGTTTATACCACACATGGAAGGCACCCTAGGTGAAGCAGTTTTTCAGTATTTGTTTACAATTCTGTGAGAAGACATACAAAGTGTCAACTTTCAAATCAAAATTGAGCATTATAATGAGAAATAAATACATACTTTACTATTTTATTGTGGGTTCCTGAACCCTTACAAACTTCAACATATACAAATAGTTTCAAAATCACACTAACACAGAAGAGAGTAAGTCTAGACAGATATAATGATTAGCTAAGTCATTCGTTATATTATGTCATAAATGTGTCTTAAGTATAGAAATAATTTTAAAATGTAATAAATTGGCCACAATATATAAATCAAAGTATTTTCTTACTCCAGAACTGTGATGTATGAGTTAAAGCTGGATGAACTGTAGTGCTATGATAAACTCCCCCTCCACAATAGCCAACAAGTAGAAACCGGTAAACATTCAAAATTAAAAGTATAAACAGTAGAAAAATGAAGGTAGCAATTGTTGTACTAAAAGGGTGCTAGCCAGAACCACTTTAACCTGCAGACATCAGGATAAATGTAACATTACTAAAAATATTTAGACTATAATACTTTTGGGATTAAAAGGTTACCAAAAGTGATAAATCAGCCCAGTTAAGAGAGGGTATTTTCTTCCAAACACTTGAAGGTTTTAATTAAATATGTCTATTAAGACATTTGTCCAAAGCAAAACAAATACAATACCCTGAAATTTCCCATATTCTAGATAATAGTCCGTGACAGTCAGAAGAGGCAGATGGTCATATTTCATTGTTACTCACATCCAGATGTTACTAAAATAGCTGTAGGGACCAGCCCCAATCAAAAAATAAGAAAAATCCCAGATACTCTGTTAATACAATCTGGCTATTGCTTTTTTAAAATGCTCCTATGTGTTCATTCTGAATTAATGAAGATAGTTTCCATATCCTTCCATATATCGTAACTGGCTTTTTAAAATTTTACACAAAGTCTATGGTATACAGATAAAACCTTCATAGTAAACACAAAGCTCTATGTTATAAATATGTCAATCAAGGTAACTATGTATATTGTATATAAAATTAAATATCTTCTGTGTGCCAAGTATAATTTAAAAAGGAATATCTGTGGCTAGTTATAAAAAAATATTTATTAACCCATAGAGATTAAAAGGCAATTTCACTAACTCATCCACCCAGCACATCTGGAAGAGTTGCACTGGAATTCTGGATAGGTAACTTTTATCTAATCACATTCTCATGATAAATAGACAACTTTCATTTTTGGGAATATATAAGAACACTTTTGAAAGCTGCACACCCAAAAAGAAAATTAGATTGTGTTGTATACTCTAAATTAAAGCCTATCAAATCACAGTGTAAGCAGATTTTTTTAAAAATTATTTTTAGAATACAAATGGTTAAATTATAGACAGATTTAAAAAAGACAATTCAAAAATACAACCAGAACAAAAAAGGAACCTTTTCAGGTTGGACAGCACCACTCTGACACCGTCAAACAGATCTATCCAGGTAGCCAAGTGGCTAATAGGGAAAACAATACACCAGGAAGAACTCTAAAGGTGCATTCAGAGACTTCTGGAATATTCGTATAAATTCATTTTTAACCAACTCCCTCTGTTAAAATAAAGAGAGGAATATGGCATAATTTCTACAAAGTATTTTCAAACACTCTGCTGATTTTAGTACCTATTTCAGATTAATTTTTAAATTCTTACTTCTGTTGCCATTAAAATTCATAAACACGACATCTCTGTCTGCACAGTCCTTTTGAGCTTTGTTGGCCCTCCAAACAATCCGTTATAAATCCTATAGACAATAAGAACTAAGCACCCAGTTTTCAGAAATGCTACATGACTGCTTTACTCATTTCAGTGGGACTGAGCAGAAATTAGTCTGAAACTATCCTTTCTTCTAGACACACAGAGCCCTTCTGATGCAAGCATCCACGTCCTGCAGGTCTCTCTGAACCTACTACTACACTTCAGCTGAGCACAAGTTATTCAATAATCACACAATGTGTCAACATACCTCAGCTTTTAATATGGACCATTAAAAACATCGGTGTAAAATCTCTCCATCTGTATTAGTCAGCACAGCCACAGTTAGGAACAGAGAAACATTTCTACACCTATTTTTACTACTGATTCAAGGTGTCTCTCTCTCCTTCTCTATGAAGCGCAGAAGCAATCTTTCCTTCTGCAGTTAGGGATTATTAATGTTCACGTATCATTTTGAAAGCAGTGGATTATTAAGCGTGAAGTTTGGGTTTCTCTCGCCTTTTCACCCCACATCTCAAATTTATGATCAGATTGTGCCTACCTATCCTAAATACCTGCTGAAGATGTTTGACTCCAGAGCCTTCACCACCAGACCTGTTCTTTATGCTCTGATTTTCACGTACAAAGCTGTTCAGCATCTCATCTGGGTAGGAGAGAGGACATTATTTTCTATGCTATTTGAATTGCTATTAAGTTTGGGTTTGTTTTATTTCCAATTATGTCCTATAAACATTATTCTTACTGATTTTGGGGTTGTGGGTTTTTTTTCCCCCCTAGAAAAAAGAACAAGCAGAAATGTTTACAAAGTTGTCATGAGACATGAAAATAACATAGAGAACAAGGAGTAAGGAAGAGGGGAAAAAAAAAAAAAGGCACTAGTAAAACCACGTAATATGTAAGCATTTGCTGTGCCTGCACATCCCCAAAATAGCACAAAGATGAGAAATATCAGATTTGTTTAGGGACCTTAAAATTCATAGAAAACTAGTGGTTAATTCACTCCTAACAGTCCACATGCAGCTTGTAGCAAATCAATTCTCCTGCTGTGTTCCACAGCATTTTAAGAACCCATAAATCTGCTGTGTTAGGAAGAGGCAATCATCATAAAGCATAAAACAATTCACAGGAGAAAAAAAAAAAAAGTAAAATAAGATTATCTTAGGGAAGATTAGAAACTTTCCCCAGGTTTCCCCTTTTCCTTCTAGAACCAACAATGAAATACAAACAGTTACAAATAACAGACCATGTCATGAGATGCACAATGAAACACATGTGACAAAGCCTATGAAGAAGCATCCCACTTTACTGATTTTATTTAAATTCACATGTAAGAAACATCTTATAAGCAAAAGATGAGAAGCTGCTTGCAATGCACAGCTCATTGCTGATGCCATGTTTTGAAATACAAAGCCCATGATAAATAGCCCAGACTGAAATATAGGCATCAGATCTCTAGAGTCAGTACCTTGTCTCTCAAAAAAGACAGAGGTAGGTAAAACTCTAAATCCTTTCAACCTCTAAGCATGTGGTTCCTACCAGAAAGCTTACACAGAAACTCATGCAGTATACCAGCTAGTTTCCACAGTCCTAGGGGAAAGAATAAAATTTCCTCCAGCACATCCAGCCCAAACATCACAAGCTATCATAAAAGGGAAGAGTACCGTACTTAAGCAAAAGGATGTTGGACACAGTATTATCTTCCCTATACTGAAGCAGACGCTATACAGATCAATGAAGGCCTAACAAAACTTACATAGTAAAACATAGGATAGATGAGGCATGAATATATGAAATGAAAAGAACAAGTGGAGAGTAGGAAGGAATCAACTTGACTAAGAAGTCATGAATCGGTCAAATCAGTTCTTAATTACAGTTTTAGAAACTCCTATTTTAGGGAGTTTGTACCTCATTACAGAAACGTACAATAAACTTAAACTAAGGCTGAGCATACATAACAATAAGAGGAAAACATGTATTCTTACACTATATAACAATTATTATGCTGTTGCTCCAATCATATCTATTGTTTAATCTCTGATGCCTGTGCATAGGTTGCAAAATTTACCATCATTTCTACATACAGAAATACATGGAGATTGCGCATCTGAGGTCTTAGTTAGACAAAGGACAACTAATCAGAACCATTACAGTATCAAGCATCACGTTTCTACAAGGTTCAACTGTTTAGCTTTAATTTAGTTTTATTTACAGTGGGTTTTGAGTCCCTTTATGGAGCTAAACAGCAGTCTTAAGGACTAAAAGAGATTATCCTTATATGCTCAGCAATTACTAGCAAGACTAACTGGCTGGAAGAAGCAATTTAATGTCACTTTTCTAAGCAAGTTTCAAAATTTTTAAACTTTCTACTCTATTTTCTTCCTTCAGAGTGTTTTTTATGATGACTGCAGTTTGGATAACAGTCCTAAAATATCACCACTTTTCCAATACACCATATAAAATTAAGGGGGGGGGGGGGAAGGCGGCGGGGAAGGTGGAAATCAACCATGTAAATATATGATCTTAATGTTTTAAATTTAGTTGTCTCTCACAGCTACTTTATTTCCCTTCTATGTAATCCAAAGAGTAAATAATGTCTCTGTAGAGTAATAAATGCTTAACTTAGATTTTTAGAAAGTATATACTGTACAATACTAAAACCATATTTGGTCCCCAAAATAAGGAAATTACAAATTTACATTTGTTTTTGTTTTACAAAAGTGTATCAGATAGTATTAAATTAATATTCTCTTTGAATTCTATCCTGAAAGCTGTGCTAAGCTCAAGTCATGATGTAAGTAATAAATAATGGCATACTGTTCTCGGCTCAAGAAAACTTATTTCACATGTAAAAGCACTCAAGGTCATTCAGGTGTACTATACTACACAATGAAGTATTACACTGTATTAGAAGTGTAACTGTATCCCTCTGCATTTGTCATTCCAGCTAAAAGGTAACAAAAGCTTTTCATGACCTCACTCTAGAAAAATCTTGGTGAAATTATCCTTTTTCTAGGTAAGGAAAGGTGTAAGGATTTGAAAGATACCAAATTCATAAACTTATAGATGCATGACATCTCCCACACCTCTGAAAAACCAAAATCAGCACACGAAGTACCAGAGAGAAATAGGGTGTTCTCTTACATATGCATCATTTCAGTTCTTGTTGTTAACCAGTAAACAGGATCCACTCCTAACAAAAAGCCTTTGCTATGCATCACCTAACTTCTGTTTCTTGATTTCAGATAAGGGTTCCACTCTAAAAGCATGGATCTTCTGGAGAACAATATTCTGTATTTGAGTAGGGGGTTTTTTGCTGTGTGTTTTTTTTTTGAGGGGGGGGGGGGGGAGGTGGGGTGTAGGGGTGGGGGCAGGGGGGTGGTATTGGTGGGTTTGTTGTTGTTTTACAATCTTTATACAAATTGCTTTAATGCCAGTTTACAGTTCCAGTCTAGGTATGCTTGTGCTACTTCTAAAAAGGTTCTTTTAATAATCGGCAGTATCTACAAACTCTCCTTGCAAACTCTGACAGAGTGCTGAAAAACAGTAGGGCTATAACTGTACTGACAATAAGAAACTTTGCTGTTTCATACCACCCTGAACATGGAACTGCCATTTACTTTTCATGAAATGCACAGTAATCCTGGTGAGACACCACCTCAATAAAACATCTATCTTCTAAACCCAACACTAGAGGTTGGCTTACATGGTTTGACCTTTTTTTTAAACTGGTATTCCCTCTGGCATTAGCTTTCAATGATGCACAATAAAGTGTTACTATAGAAACTGGTAAACCAATGCTCATTAAGAAAATGAAAGTTTTCTTTAACCTCATTAGTAACTCCTTCATTTTAATCTCCATTTTAACCACTACCATAAAATGCACTGTAGACATCAGTCAACTGAAAACTAGAAGATATGTTTTGTCACCTCTTTTTCACTCATCAAAATAATTCTGTTACTTGATTCAAGCATTGCAGTGTTAGGTCACACCTGCTGCTATCCCAGCTCTCTCTGGTATTAAAGCAGCCCAGGCACTTCTACTGATCTTCTGTTTGGTATAATCTGTTTTTCATGTGTAAAAGTGACCTATCTGCAACATACTGCCGTTTATTCTTCAGACGCCAGTTGACTGCATTCATCCACCTAAGAGTACAGCTACATAAGAACACAATGCAAAAACTCTTCTAGTCAAATGTGAGACAAATTCAGGCATACATGGCATACAATTCCACTAATTTCAAAGATTTCGCCAGCTTACACCAAAAATGAATTCAGCTCCAGAGATCTTGTCCCTAACACATTTTCTTCATGTAACATGCAAGCATGCATACGCCAAATAATGGATTACAGAGATAAAAACACCAATCAAAGAAACAGAAATATATTAAGGAACATCTTCCTAACAACATTATGATACTGTCTAACCGATCACTGAAGAATTCAACTTTTGAGTAGAGAAAACTTCTTTTTCTTCAGTGGAAGTACAATTAAAATAAGAAAACTTCAGTTAGGTGAAAGTATTTATAAACCAATCAATACAACCATATTATCCTCCAATTATCTAAACTCATTTTCAAAAAAAATATTAGGAGAAAAAACTTGCGGAAGCATCTAATAAAAAAAAAAAAAAAAAGATCAGTTTTAACTACTACCAACAGTTTTAATTTTAGAAGAAACAACCAACCTTCCAAAAAGGAAAATATTTATCTAACATGAATCACAACATTGCAAACTTAGAAACACTTTATAAGCACATCATAATTTTTTGCTAGTTTTGCTTACCCTAGGCATCTCAGAAAAGTTGAACCTTAAAAAAAAAAAAAAATTAAAAAAAGGCCATGACTGGAATGCAAGTCTACTGGATGACAACCCCTTCTTTCTCTATTGTGCCACTCAACCCCATTTTTTCCACCTAGCCTCCCAACCATATTTATTTTCCCATTTTGGAATGAAAAATAGAATGCATCCCAACAGTAGCAGAAAATCACATACTTGCGCTTGATGCATTATCATGACTATTCAATAAACATGCTAACTTTGCACAAGTTCAGAGCTGGACAAGGTCATGCATGAACTGAATATGGCAATTTCAGAGTAACCCATAGGGGAACTACCTCAACACTATATCCATCAAACAGAAAATAGGAAATGGTTGTCCATTTCAGCTGTGTAAGTGCACAAACAGTGAAACTGCAGGAGATCTTGCAGATGAGAATTGAGCTGTGCTGCCAAGGCTGCATGAGGATGGACACAGAGAGTCTGCTGGAGACGATACATGGCTAAAATTATTGCTATTTGCCCCTCACTTCCTTTTTGCATGTATTAAATATAATTTTGGTGGATTTCATTCCTCTGTTAACCAACCAATGTAGTGCTGGTCTTAGTGTTTACGACAGATGAAGTAACAGTGGCAGAGCTTGTACTTGGGAGAGGGAAGGAAAGTACTGTGCAGTTAATCCATAACAGTAACATACTTCAAAACATATATATGTAATATATTATATAAGCTATATAATATATGTGTATATATATGTCAGCATCTTAAACAGATCTTGTTTTTTAAATGACCAACATGTACTGCCTTCATGACAACAGCTTCTGACGCAGTGCATCTCTGCACATAGGCAGGGCTGAGCATTCTCTGCCACCATCCGATCTTCCTTTTCTTTCTTAAATAAAAACCCTTCGTTCCATGAGGGAGTTAAGCACTACTTCTTTTCCCTTTGCAGTCCCATTTGAATGTCGCTTTCATGCATCCAGACGCTGAATCTCAGGACGATGATCTACTTCTCTGGATTCTGTCCGAGCACGTATGTAATCACTGGTCTGCCGACTATTTTGTTGTCTGCTGTTCATTCGCCACTTTTTAATAGCTAAATATGTGTTCACAGCATACACTGCCATTGCCAAGAAACCAAATATCTACAAAAAGTAGAAAGAATTGTCAAGGACAATTTTTGAAAACAAGAACAATGCTAGTTTCACAACAAATTCCTTAGAAGCTTAGTTTTCTACTTTATTTGCACTGACAAATCATCATAGGCTGTAAAATTGATGTTTTTCTTCTTCAATGAACTAGAGAATCTGTAAAAGGGACTAAGATCAATGATCCCAGAAAACAAGCTATCTGTCTACAAACATGACAATTTAATCCTGCAATGCAACTTCAATGGAAGAACCTCTTGTAAAGAAGAATACAGCTCTTCATCCAACAGTTCATTCCTCAGGGTGCACATAACAGGGAATGAATGAGAAGAGAACAGACGACCAGTCCAGACCATCAGCCTGGAGAAGGAGCTAATTTGCAGTTCTTCCTATATGCTTCTGCAGAATTGTTGTGTGAATTTCAACATCCAGGTTTGAAACTAAAAAACAGTTGCCATCTCAAGCACAACATTAATTTCATTGACCTTATTGTTCTAGCTTTAAAATCTTGAAGTACTACTAGGCTCAATCCACAGAACAAAAGTGATCTATGGTGAGCAAGAAGAATTCAGCAAATTATGTGTAGGCAGCAATAATATCTTGTGATTTTTGGGCTCTTTTCCGTAGGCTTGCAATATAGAGCAGTATCATCCAAGCTAGCTATAGAGAAAGCAGCAAGGCAAGTTCAACTGTTAAAGTGTTCTCTGCAAGTCATTTTTCTGTTTGTTCTTGCTCAAGTCTTAAGACAAACTACTCAAAGGATGTCAATACTTTTTCAATCATAAATTGCTTACAGCCAACTGTAAAATGAGAAGTAAATTGTGATGGCAAAGGCAACAGGAGTATTCAATGAGCATGAGGGAAAAGTTACTCTAGATATATCATATAAAAAAAAGTTCAAATTCTTACCACAGCAGCAATTTCTGCTCCAGTTTTATGGTTTAAAGCAGCAAGTACTACAGAGGCAATGAAAAAGAAGAAAGTGCTGAGTCCAGTGTTGACCAGATCCTAAAAAAATAAATTCATTAGTATTACTAAACAACGATTCTTTGCTTGCTTTCATAAGAAGTGATGAAACAGAAGGTTAGAACAAGAACTATAGCAATACTTTCCCATTTTCTATGCAGTTTATCACTTATACAAAGGAAGACAAATATTATTACACAGGAAACACAGCACGGTGTGCACATTAGTCTGTAAACTGAAGTCAAATAGCATGTACACATAAAGCACCAGTGCAGATTCTGGATGTGTTACCTCAATTTCTACTGGATTTATTAGAAAAGTACTGTCAGCATAAATAACAAGTAAAACTGTTCTACCTCAGCTGACACTGAAGTAACCTGTATATCAAACTTTAGCACTTGAGGAACCCCTTGTTCTCTTTCACATCACAACAGTACTCCATGCACTGCCCAGATAACAGTCCTGTTTTTTTCAGTGTAGAAAACTGCATGTCTTTTACTATTTCTACGAGTAACAGCTGCCTGTATTCTGAGAACACACAGATTTTTATGTATTTATTGTGTAAAACTTACGTTTCAAGCAGTCATTTTAGAACATATGCACAGTAACACCCATGGGGCACCTACTTTCAGGGAAAATTCTTGCTTTGCTCCAAGCACAGAAAAATGACAGACAACGTGCAATTCAGTTATACATATGCTTCATACGTCACTTAGTGTTCAGATGATTATGCTGCCATGCCTTACATAAAGCAGGGTCATTAAAGTATCATTGGAACATCATTAAGAAATCTGAATGGCAGCTATTAGCACAAGAATCATTATATCAATACAAGACTCAGACTCGAGGAAAAAAAAATTAAAGAGTTAGGACTTAAAAATAAAAGAAAGAGTGCTAGATTCACTAGGGAATAGCTGTTCACTACATTCTTCGAGGCATCCTTTATAATATTTTAAATCATTTTAAAAACATTTGATACATGTGTACTGCACTATAAGTACACTACAGAGATGCAGGAAATAACAAATTATCATGATAACTGAATAAACAAGTGAAGACGAGGAGTAGGGAGCAGTGTGGTGGCATCAGGGAACGGCAGCTCAGCACAAACACCATGAAGAAACATTAAATCAGTGAGAGGTGAATACTATCATAGCTAAAGAGATGGAAATAAAACCCATATACGAATCTGTTGTGCAGCTTACAGTTTTGAGTTAAAGGGAAAAAAAGCAAACAAAAACCCACTGAACATGCCAACTCCCATCATTAAAAAAATCCCATCATCACTCTAATTAGAATTCAAGGACAAATTTGTTCTACTTGACTCTTCTTTCACAGGCCAGCCAGGATCACTTCCTGTTCCTGCTTCTCCAATTACAAGTAGATTTTTTTTTTTTTTTTAAATTTCATTTTCTTTTTCCCCAAAGTCCATCTTGTGAAGTGCTGTAAGAAGTTAGGCTTAGAATACTGAAGATACAAATATAAATTTATTCCCTGTGTCTGAATCCCATGACTATGTTCCAGCTAAACAGCACAAAGACTTTGAAAAGACCATTGTCATCCAGCCACCCCCAAAACAGCTGTTTTTCTAGCCATAACTGGAGAATGCTTTAGAAAGTAATTGTGAAAACAAAGTTTCTGGTGCTGTGTTATTCACAGGGAAAACTATTTTGAGGGTACTGGCTCAGCGACATCTGGTTATCAAAATTAAGTAAACCTGGGGATAAACTGTATGTTGTAGCACTGTGGCTTGATCCGCATCTAAAAGGGGGAGTTTCCCAAGAAATAAGAGAGGTTTCCATTACTCATTGCTATTTCCACCCTCATGTTCAGATTTCATAAGCCCAGTGAGACCCAAACTGTCTTACTAAATAGTAAGGAAACAAAAGCAAAGTGTGGGTCTCAAACTCCTACCACCTTTTCATCTGCTATTACATAATTAGATAGATACATTTTCTCTCTGTTCAAGCTTACTGAGTGAGATGTTACTTTGTATTTAGGGCATCAAACAAACTGGAATTAAATAGTTATTACAGCTTTAATCGTGTAATTTCTGGCTTTGCAGAGATAAAGTTAAGAAACAGAAAACAGATGGCACTATGGAACTAGAAAATAAATGGAATTTCACAATTTCTCCGAGTATGCTCCTCTCTAACTTTGAGTTTAGCAGCTCTAACTGCGCTTCTGCAGTTGCCAACAAGAGCTGTGGTTCTCATCTGCACAAACCTTTTCTCACTAGAAGGGAAGTCTCATTATATATGACAACAGATACCAGACTCAACCGTATTCAATGTTTTCAACAAGTATCTAGAGTAAACATATTTATGTCACCAAGAATACTGAAACTAACTACTGGGGAGAAGGCAGCTGTGGTCTTGAATAATTTTTTTTTTTTTTTTTTTTTTTAAATTAGTTCATCCCATGGCCAAATTGTGTATTTTACTACCAGAATACATTTGCCACCTACAGGAGGGACCTACAGAACGGAGACATAGGAAAGCACACCAAAATTGATAGTATAACAAAATCAACAGCTGCAAAGTTAAGACAAAAGTCATATTCAAAATGAAACAAGTTTTAATTGTAAGGGAATTAACCATCAGAACAAACAACCAAAGATGTGCTTAATATTCTATCTTTTCACTTCTTACAATCCAGATTATGTTTTTTCAGACATACATTTTGTACATCCTTAGTACCATCCTTAAAGACTAAGTGGATGACACATAATGCTCTATGATTTATAGGGTCAGATGCACTTATTAATTAATCCTGATGGCCTCTGACCTTTCAAAAGTCAGCTTGATCATCTTGCCAAAGGAGAATACTATAAAAGCAAGATAGCTAGACCTACCCACAACATGACAGACATTGTCATCTATCTCCATGTCACAAACTGACTTGAAGGCTTCTTGTCGGAAGTTTGAGATACTGCAGAATATTAAATACTGCTGAAATTAGACTGCTGGTCTACTTAAGTGACTGCTTGTCATTATTTTTCCAGGAAACCAAAGATACAAGTATGTCAGAAACTTTGTCATTGTCATGGTTTGAGCCTGGTCAGCAGCACTCGGTGGTGGCGTAACCTCGTTCAGGCCCCGATAGTCTCTGTCAGTCTCCACTCTCCATTAGACTTCTGCACTGGCCATATGGGGCTGTTAAAGGGTGAGCGAGTCTTGCTGATCACTCCTTGGCTCTCCAGTCGACTCAACCCGGGACAGTCATCATCACTGGCATCTTATTTTATTGTACTTTTTACAAAGAATATCAAATTTGTCCTTACAAATAATCCAACAATTCAAATCTAATGAATTGGTGCTGTCTTGAGGCTCCAATTTATTCCATTCTGCAATTCCATTTACCCTGTTTAGGTCAAAACCTTTTAATGCAATTAACAATTGATTCATATTCATACAATAAGGCTGGTTTCTTAAAAAGCTAAAACTAACACAATCTTTCATATCCACAGATCAGACTGTTTGGAGTTCAAGAAGCAATGACACTTACCAGTAACAATGCTATAGATATATAATTGTAACATCACTGATGCAAATATCAATGGAGGTTTTTAATTCTAAATTTGGTTCTTACTACTTAGAACAGAAACAAAGAAAAAATAAAATTGTTTTGGACAAATTCAGAGCAGAAACAAAAGAGAATGAACTACAGTAAGAATTCAAGAAATAAAGGACACTCCCTAAAATAATGTAGCGTTTTTCCACGTAAGAGAAAATGAATAATTATGACAGTAAAAAGAATAAACTAATTGAAAAAAGATGAGCCATTTCAAATCTGGCCATGATGTAGCTGAAGTTCTTGCTATTATATTTATAGACAAAGTAAAAACCACATCACACAGATAGAAGAATTTCTCTGAAATTACAGCAACCTCATGAGACAGTATGCTGCACCATAAAATACTGTACAAAGCTGCCATCCATAACAGAGAATAAAATCTATGAGCTGAATCAAATCCACTCTAGACTGCTGCTGCTTCCCTTCTCCTTTCCAAAATTATTTAAAGCTAGTTATTTGCAAGTCATTCTGTGCAGCCACCAATGGTTCTATTAGTCCAAAGGAGAGTATCCAAGGACATATGTTTGCTACCACCATCACCAGCTATCAGTCCCACTCAGAAGAAGCATAAGGCAGAAGAGACATCTCAACTTGTGGATGAGGATGGGTTTATGCCAAGACATATTTTATACTAAAAAAGGGTGAGGTTTTTGTTCTACTGTAAAGGTGGGAAACTCTAGAAAACTGGAGAGCATCCTACAGTCTTTCTTTTTTAAGAGTCTGGGCAAGTATGGTTTTTGGATTAATGACGACGGAAAAGCTGAACTGGTTCTATGAGACGTCTCTAAAACAGACTTGAAAACTCCCATTAAGTAACTCCTCAAAGCTGCAAAGCGCATCAGCTTCCAAGACTTCCGCTTAGTGCTCCAGTTTGGTACATTACCAGGAGTTAGCTCTGACGTTCAGAGGCATCAGTAATATGCACATACCATTATCCATCACTCTCCATGACTTCACACACGCAAACTTTTGGGAGACATTCAATCCAAATATATGCTCTGCCTTTTTATCCTGTATTTCATGGTGAAGTAAGAGACTGCACAAGTGACTGGTACTAAAAGGGAGACAATGCCATATTGCAATTGTAATTTGTATAAACAAAAATATGACATTTAAACCGGTCGTTGCTTTTGGAAATCCGAGAGTTTACATTTAGATGGAGTTTAAAGTAGATAAATGAATGAAACCTGGAGGAGAAGCATGCACATTTCAACAGCGTGACTTTATTACAAAAGGTGACAGAAGTTAGTGGCCTGCTGCTGCCCAGGTTATTTTCCACAAAAGACAGAGCTCAAAGTAACATTTCCTTTTAGCTCTGTTTGGGTTGTGGTGGTTTTTCAGTTGGCAGGGGAAGGGAGGGGAAGCTTGGTTATTGTTTTCTGGTTTGGTTTTTCTTTTTTTTTTTCGTTTTGGTTTGTTGGTTTTCGGGTTTGTTTTGGGTTTGTTTTTTTTTGTTGTTTTGGTTT